CATAGAACTGCCCGGCAAACGCCTAGACCCCCTCCGTTTTTGCAGCCGGCAGCTTCTCCTGCGGCTTCGGCAGCAGGAGCCGCTGCAGCACCTGCCGCTGCGCCGCCGGCTGCGGCGCCGCCTGCAGCATCGCCTGCAGCAGGACCTCGCGCTGCAGCAGCACCTGCTGGTGCAGCGGCAGCGGCGACGGGGCATTGGGGATCGGGACCCCTGAGTAGCCCATTGCCATCACTGCAGCGCGCCGTTGGAGATTCTCCTGCTGCAGAGACCCCGCAGCAGTCCCAGCAGCCGTTGCCTCCGCAGCAGCCGTTGCCTCCGCAGCCACAGCAGCAGTTACTGCAGCTCCAGCAAGGTTCAAACACGCACGTAGATCCCCTGACTGCAACGCTGCATCTGCAAAGGCTTCCCGAGACGCCGCTGGCTGAAGCCGGCGCCGACCGCAGCAGCAGCCCCCAGGCCTCTCCCTTCTCGACAGGCTACGCAGCAGCAGATGGTCACTCGATGGAGCTGCCTGAAGCTGGGGAAGCAGCAGCAGCAACGGCAGAAACGGCGGACGTGGGTTTGACGGAGGCGGTGGAGGTCGCAGCAGCCGAAGCAGCGACTGCAGCGGCCCAAGCTGCGACTGCAGCCGCAGCAGCAGACGCAGCAGACGCAGCGGCAGCTGCTGGAGAGCCTCCTGGAAGCGTCGAGGCCCAGAGACTGCAGATGAGACACGAACTGATGACTGAGAGCCCCCGTTTCCTCATAGACCTGATGCCCAAGTGTATATACACCTCGAGCGACACTGTGGATGTGCTGCTCGAAAGCGGCGCAGCAAAGTATTTGGAGTTCAAGACATGTGATGGCTCTGTCCTTACGGCAGAGCTGCTGCTGCAGCAGCAGCAAGATGATGATGCGCCGCAGGCGCCGCTCGCTAATTCCCAGCAACAACAGCAGCAGCAACAACAAAACGCGTCCGCAACCCCTGCTGCTTCGGAAGTTGGAGGCATAACTGCCCCCACAGCAGCAGAGTCTGCTGCTGCTGGAGTGCGGGCTCCCTCAGTCGCGGTGCCCCAAGTTTCCGGGCAGTTGGTAGGAGGGGGTGATGTGTCCTTGGGGGGACATTTGGGGTGCTTCTGTGCAAATGAGAAGATCGTCTTAGAGGCCACACCAATGAGTAAGGGCCAAATATTTCAGTCGCAGCTGCTTTCTCTTGGGGAGAAGCGAGCCCTGATGAGATTTGTTGCTGCTGCGGGCGCCCCTTCTCCCACTACCGTTAGTGCCCCCTTCGCATCTGCTGCACATTGGATGCCTGAAGGACAGCAGCACCCTGCGGCTGGAAGGTCACGGGGCGAGCCGTCCGGCAAGCCTCCCATGGCGGCGCCTTCCGATGGAAAAGCAGCTTTGCCAGCAGCAAATGGCGCTGCAGCAGGTGCTGCACCAGCGATGAGCGAGGAAGGCGATTGCTGGGACTGCTATTTAGAGCAGCAGGGACTTAACACTCACCTTCGGCGGCTGGTGACGTACGGAGTGTGCCTATGTGACAAGCCGCTGCTCCCCACAGCCGCAGCACCCGCAGCAGCAGCAGCAGCAGCAGGGACGTGCACGGGTGAGCACGTTAGCCGGTGGAGTGTTCGAGAAGGCCTGAGCCGTTTGCAGCTGTTTGTTTCTGGCTGTGGGCTCTACGGCTGCAGAGGGGCGCCTTTGCTGTACCCTCTTTACGGATCAGGGGATCTGCCCCAGGCCTTCATACGTGCTGCCGCGCTCAGTGGGGCCCTGTGCATGCTGGGCGCCGCCGTGCAGCGCCTGCAGTTTATTTCGCCCCCCGCACAACCGCAAGCTCAGCAGCAGCAGCACCAACAGCAGCATCAGCAGCAACAGCAGCTGGAGTTGCAGCGAGAGTTAGAGGGTGACAGCGATGAGGACATCGAAAAGCTGGCCGAAGTCCTGCAGCGCACCAGCAGTTGCATGGTGCTCCACTGCAGCAACGGAGAAAGAGTGGTTACGAAGCTGCTCCTGTACGAGAGTGGTTGCCTGCCGGCACCTCAGGGGAAGCCGCTGCTCCTCAGGAAGCAAGCCCAAGCGTTCTATCACTCTGTCCCTTGCAGAAAGCCTCAGAAGCAGCAGCAGCAGCAACAGGGCAGCCAGCTCATAGTTAGTGTGGATGCAGAAGAACCAAAAGGCACTGTGGAAGCAACAATTGCTGGAGAAGCAACTGCAGGGGCAGAAGCAGCGCCCGCACCAGCAGTAGACGTAGCGGAAAGCCGAGCAACTGCAGCTGAGGCCCCAGTGAAAGAAGCAGGAACCTCCGCAACAGCCACAGAAGCAGCAGAAGCGGCAGCAACAGCAGCTGCTGGAGGCAACGGCTGTGAGCGAGAAGCGGGAGGCGGAGACACAGAAACAGCGCTGTCTTGCTGCCGGCTGCTGGCAGTTTGTACTGAGCCTGTTTTAGGCGGCCCTGGCTTTAGAATGAGTGTTGTTGTAACGCATGCACCATGCGACGACATGCTGTCTCCCGCCACTGCTGCTGGTGTAGGTACTGATGCTGATGGCAACAGCAGCCTGCACAGCGGCAGCAACAGCAGTAGGATTGCTGAGGCGGAGTTGCCTGTGCATGTGATGCAGACAGATGCATCAAGTGCTGTTGCTCCGAAAGGTTATTTCCTGCTGCACCTATCTCACGTGTTCTCTGGAGCAGTGCGGTGCTTCAGCGACGCGCTGCCGGAACAGCAGCAGCAGCAACGGCAGCAGCAGCTTTCTCCTTCGGCAGTCACAGGCGGGACTGCCGCTTGCGGTTGTTGCAGCAACGGGGCTGGCCGTGGGAGGTGTGCAGGTGGTGGGAGCCAGGAGACTGCTTCATTGCAGGGTGTATGTACAGCGTCGTGTGGCTGTGGGGCTGAAGTGCATTGCTGCGCCGTGCTGCTGCGGGTGCTCAAGGGCCTCCTGCGCTCGGCGGGGGGCCTGCGGACATGTTACTTCCTATGCGCATTTCGATATAACCAACACGTTGCAACAGCAGCAGCAGCAGCAGCAGCAGCAGCGATGCCGCTGAAGCTCCCTGCCTCATTTTCAGAGGAGAGGCGGAAGCAACAGCAGCAGCAGCAGCCGAACTCTCACGCTACCGATAAGCCGGTTGGGGCCGCCGAGCACAAGACTGCAGAAGCGGCTTCGGTAAACTCAGATGAGTCCACAGCTGTGCCGACAGCCGCTGCAGGCGAAGCGGCAACAGTAGAGTGTGTGGAACAAGTGTGTGCCGAGAAAGAGGACCCTGAGCTGCTCTTGCTGTCTGCGGTCAACAAGAGGGACCGCAGGGAGGCCGTATTGTCTGCTGAGACGGCACCATGTGGGGTGCTGTCTTTACCAGATGCATGCGCTTCCCCATGTTTCCCGCTGTTGCAGGAGTGTGAGGGGGCGCGCCTTATGGTTCAAGCACTTCTGCGGGAAAAGCTGCAAGCTCAGCAGCTAGTGGGCAAGGGCCCTCAGCAGGAGCCAGGCGATAAGGATCCGGAGGAGCAGCACCTAGATTCAACATATGAACAGCTGACGGATCTCATAGAATCCTCGCAGCAAGCATCTGCAGCAGCAGCAGCTACCACTCCACTATCAACATGAACGCAGTGCTGCCAGAAGGCGCTGGACATTGTGCCCAGACCATGCTATTTCGCTCATCGTGAAGATTCCTCCGCCTTTGCAGTGGCTCAACGACAGTCTAGGCAGAGAGGCCTCCTAAGCAGGCCCCCTGCCAGGCACATGAGTGAGGGGGCTCCCTAAGAGGCTTCTTTACCATGTAGGTGCTTGAAGCGGCTCCTTCCGGGGCCTGGAGACATTTTCAAAGTGCTGTGATGAAGTGTGCGAGCACTCCGCAGCAGACCCGAAACTGTGAGGAGCCCAGAAGAGCTCCGCCTAGGAAACGCTTTTACCTTTCATGCGTATTTATGCACGTTTTTGGACTCGCGTATTTATGCGTATATCCGTATGCGCCGGTAGATACACACCGTCCGCCCTGGCGCTGATCTTTATTTCATCTTTTTTGTGTATACCACGTGCTTATCTGTAGATGAACCTGGCCACGGCCGCTTGCCTGTTTTCTTTGGCAACACGGACTGCCAGGGTGGCTGGCTGCAGCAGGCTTCTGCACAGCAGCCCTCCCACACAATGCTAGTGGGAGGGACGACTGCTACAGCCAGTTCCTGCTGCAGCCAGTTGCCACGCTGTGGCTAGCTGCACTTTTCGGTTTCGAAGAAGCCAAGGAAACATACAAACAGGTGGTCGTGGTTAGGTACATCTAGAGACCTCGTAGTTGTCATACGTGGCAGAGCGGCAGTAGGCAGACACTATTGTCTGGCTAGCCGTGGCTAGCTGGCCACACAGACTCCAGACGCGCGCAGGAGCGGTGGCGAGCACGTTGACTGCTGAGGCACAGGCTTCCTCAAGTACAGCATGCACCTAAGCTTCTAGTTCTGTTCCTGGTCTTATGGGGCCTTAGGGACCGCGCCAGCGACTGCTGGCAAGTCTCCTGGCCCCAGCTAGTTCAACCTCAATTCATAGCATTTTGGGGATGCATCAAAGTCGTTTCTCGACTGGCAACAAATAATGCACAAGCTGCTGGGAAGAAACCACAAGAGAGCTTCCAAACGAGGCACCATCGAGCCAGCAGGGCCCCAATAGCGGGGACGCCATTCTTCCGCGCCCGCTACAGGCTTTCTAGGGCTTATTCAAAAACATAATTGGAAAAACGCCCATTTTATACTGCTGGGCTAGGGTATTGACTTTCATCCCCGTCGTAGAGCCCCTTGCCTGCTCTGCGTATTCTTTGGGTGGGCCCCGAGGCTTCCACAACCGCCGATCCATGCTCTTTCAGAAGCTCTTTCAGAAGCACCCGAGGTGCCTGGAGCACCGGTGTAAAGAAAGCACTTTTTGAAGATATCTAGGACAGGAGCTGTCCCCGGCACCTGCAAGTGCAGGGCAGCAAGAGGGGCTAGCCTGCGGTGAGGCGCACGGTGTCTTCTTCTTCGTCACGCATGCAGGCCCTCGTGGAGAGCTCCCAATCTAGTGGGGGCACAACACAAGCGCCTGAGGGCTCTTCAGACGCCGGTGCCCACCCTTTACCCGAGGTCCCTCCGAATCTTCAAGGAACAGGCAAAAGTCAACTTCTTGAGGTACCAAACGTGGCAATAGCTGCGGTAGAGATCCCGGGGAAGGCCAAGAGGCGGTACGTCACAGTACAAGTGCTGCTGCGGCGGTTTCTGCTGCTTAGCTTGATGCCGCTCCAGGGTTGTTTCGTCGCAGCGTTGTACGCCGGCTGCCAGTGATCCTGCAGCTACACCTCGAGTTGTTAAATCGGTCATGTTTGCCGCACTCCTGCTGTTGCTGCTGATTCTGTTGCTGCTGTTGCTGCTGCCACAGCTGGATGTCGGTCTTGCCATTTCTTCTTGGCTCGCTGCTGCAGATCAACTGTGATTCGCATACTCGGGGGGTGCGAGGCTGCTTCCCGAGGAGTGGCATGTGGGGACCGTGGGGAGCCCCTAATACTGAGGCTAGGGTGTAGTAGCAACAGCAGCAACAGCAGCAGCAGCAGATGGGGGCAGATACCTGCTTGTCGGCAAAGCGCAGCAGGCATTCTGGTGCGCCGGAGGGTCCGGAAGTCAGGCGCTGTAGAGTTTGAGACCGTAGGCAGAGTGATACAGCGCCACGTTTTCACCGGTAGGACGAACTGCTGCTGTTGCTGCAGTTGGCGCTAACGTTGCTGCTGGCACTGCAGCTGCCCCTGGAGAGCGAGCTGCCTGCGGCACGCCGAATACCACGGATACATCCCCGCAGCAGCAGCTGCTGCACTTGCTGCGGTGGCCGCTGCAGCGGCTGCTGTCAGTGTGACTACTACTGCTGCTGCGCTGCATGCAGGCCTCGCCGACTTCTACTTCGTGCCGCCGCCCGGTCACCGCGGCGAAGAGTCTTTCGAGGCTCAAGTGGTGGCAGAGGCGCAGCGCGCATGCAGCGGCAACGTAAGCAATACGCAGGAGCCCCCATACATACCGCCTCCCTTCTTCTGCAAAGGCCAGGCACCATTTCCATACAAAATTGAGGCCCCGCCGGCCCCTACATTTGCTGCGGAAGCTCCACGAGAGTCGCCTACCGAGCAGCAGCAGCAACACCAACAGCAAGACCGCCAACGGTTACATCAGCAGCGAGACCAGCTGCTGCTGCAGCCGGAAGTGCATGTTGACGTCGAAAAGCAGCAGCAGCAGAAAGAGTCTCCTCAAGAGTTCCCTTCCCCGAGACATGCCAGCAGCAGCATTTCTGCAACACAACCCGCGACGGCAGATGCAGAAATAGAAAACGCAGCGCAAACAGAAGAAGATGAAGCAACAGCAGCAGGAACAGCCGGGGCAGTACAAGCAAGGCTGCTAACAGCACCGGCATCAGCAAGATCACAAACGAAGACAAATGAAGAAGGAGGCGCCTCAAGCATACTGGAGAGTGACAAAATTACCCTCGGAGCTGCTGCAAAGGCTGCAGCTGCAAGAGCAGCGGGGACTAGAGGACATCGAGCACCCCGTTTTGTTCCTTCGCTACCAGCAGCAGCAACAACAACAACCGCAACGAAAGCTGCAGAAACAGCAGAAGCAGCAGCAGCAACAACAGGGAAACTAACGGAGCAAGTACCCCAATCATCGGTCATTTCTGATGCTGCACCGCTAGACGCAATTGACCCCGCGCGAAGTGGACGCCAAGATGGTGAAGATGCAGCTGCCGTTGCTGGTGCTGCTGCTGCTGCAGAACAGGGAAGCGCAGAAGCAGTAGCAGCAAGTTCTTCAGAGTCAGCACGGGAATTGACGTCAGACGCGGCCACCTTTTCCAAGAGCTACCAGGCAGGTCCATCAACAGTAACTGGGAGCAGCAGCAGCAGCAACAACAAAGATGACAGCACCGCATTTAATGCTGTCGGCCGCATAGGCGATGAACAGCTCCCCGTGGCACCCCCTCCCGCAGCAGCTAGGGCCTTTGCAGGTGTGTTTCTGGCAGGCGTGTGCTGCGGTAGCTGCTGCTGTTCAGCATTGCTGTTGTTGTGGCTGTTAGTTTTTCCCCTGCTGCTGCTGCTACCTCCATTGTAAGTGCTATGGCTACAGTTGTTTATGCTGTTGTTGATGGTACATTTGCTGCTGTACTGCAGCGGCGGATTTCTGTTGGTTCCGTGGCTGATGCTGCTGCTACTGCGGCTGCTGCAAGTGGTGTTGTTCTTGCTGCAGCTATCGGCTCAGCAGGCTGCGGGCAATGCAATAATTGCCTTTACTCTAGACTTATGGATCATGGTATCCACACTGTTCGTTCTTGTGCTGCAGCTGCTGCTTCTGCTCCAGCCGTTGCTGCTATATGCTGTGCGTAGTAAAGCTTGTTCATGTTGCTGCTCTGCAGACCGCAGCTTGCTGCTGGCCCTCGAAGAACTGCTGCAGAAACAGCCCGTATGGCTTAGACCTTCTTTAGATGCACATCTGCCACCCACATACACGGCATGGAGAAAGAAGCCTGCCTATGCCAAGACATGCTTCTTATTTGCAGGTACCTGCTGAAGCTGACGCTGCTGCAGGAGCTTCTGATGTTGCTGGTGCTGGTGTTGTTTCTACTGCTACAGTTGCTTTTTGCTGTTAAGTGAGGGGCTACAAAAGCTGTTGGCGCTGCGGTGTTGTTTCAATTGCTTGTTCTTGTGCACGATGCGCTAAATGTGAGCGTCTGGAAACCAAATTGAGGGATGCAGGTCCAGTGGGAATAGTTGGTCTAGAAATCACCGGAAAATGGCCATGATGTAGCAACAGCGATAAAGTGCTTATCTGGTATTTGGCGTGGATCGTGCTGTGTTACGGTTGCACTTATAAGGACCTGCTAAAGGCTCAGCGACGACGTATGCAGCAGTAGCAGCAATGGCCGCATCAATAAACGCCTCAGGAAAACTGTATCCCTGTGATATATCTTGCTTGTCAGATGGGCCTTTCCGTGGCTGTCTCTGCCGGCTCGGCTATGATCCTCGAAAAGACCCTGAGAGCCGCCACTACCAGGTGAAGCCTAGACCCAAAATCCCAGGTTCTAGACCCTGAACCCGAAGCGTTTCCCTAAGCACTTGCGTAGTTGTTTAGTTCTGAACGTTAAGATCTGATTTTGTAGGTGAAGGCCGGTGAAACTAGTTTGTTGGCGGATCTCCAAACACCAGGCAGGCACCAGACTTCAAGCCCAGGGCTGGCTATTGTAGAAATATTTTTGTGCTTCTCATGCATTGCGTATGCTGCTTGCTCATATGCCACAGACAATTGACTTCAGAGACCCTTTTTTCCGTTCTACCAACTGGAAAGCTGCCGCTGCAGGAGGGGGCCCTCCGCCGAGCTCGGGTCAGCAGCAGCGAGGTGAGACCGGCGATTCACAAGGTCCTTACGGATGTTCTGCTCAGCATTGCCGTATACAGCACTGCAGCAGTTGGTGACATTGAAAGCAACGTCAACGAGAGTAGTACTAACTGCAAGAGCCACAACATCAGCGGCATCACTTGGTGCAGCTACAGGGGCAACAGCACCCACAGAGCTGCAGCTGCATCGTTGCGTACCGTTATTTGATGTGCGTATTGCCACGTGTCCTGCAGAGGATGCATTTTTAGTCCCTCCTTCTCGCCCCTCCCAGGTATATCAACTCTGTGCCATTCAAGATGCCGATATTCGTCAGCTTCTGCAAGAGGCCCCAGTGCTGCCAACTTTTAGCAACGAGACAGGCAAGGCCAAGTTCTGCTGCTGCTACTGCTGATTCTCTGTCCGACGCGTTTTGTTGGTCTTACCGCATGCATTGGTGCTGCTGGAACTAGTGTGGCCGCTTCTGCTGGCGCTGCGGCAATCCAGAAGCTCTTCTGGCTGTTGAAGCCCCTTCTGCGGGCTTGGAGAGGTGCGGTTGGACAGCTGTGCAGAACTTTACTGTCTTGCAGGATGGCTTCACAAAGACACCCTTAAAACACTTCGTGCCCTCATGTCACTCAAAAGCAGGCGCATGCGTTCGGGGGAGAGCGACCAGCCGCATCAGCAGCCTCGTCTGCAGGGGTAGGAGCACCAGCAACGAGAAGTTGCTGTGAGAAGTTCGCCGTGTTGGCCTCCAGTTTCGCCGATGGAATTTCTTATGAGTCGCTCGTGCTGCCTTTTAAGACCAGCATATTGAGCCGCAGCTGCATAGTTGATGGGAGCAGCAGTAAAGCTCTAAAATATGAGCATTCTCTGCAGTGACGACGCAACGCCATGCGCAGACTGGCCCTCTTTAGTTGGCATTCTCTAGTAAATCTTTGCGCGGGTTTCCATCTCCTAATCGCATAGTTTTTTTTTATTGTGGTGGAGGCCAACACTACTTAAGAGGCGCATTGGGGAGCTCGTTCACGGAGCCTCGCTTCTTGTGTTTCTCCAGTCAACTTGTCCGTAGTTGTCTGCTATGCTATTCGAGAATTAGAATGGACAAGACAGAAAAAGAGCAAGACTAAACGGGGAGACAAGAACCACAGAAGTGATGAATTTTGAAGACACAAGACAAAAGACAAGAGATGAGCGAATGCAATGGACAGGCTAAGAGAACACTTGGCGGGCTAGGAATACATTTCCCTGCAGCGTGAGTGGCGTATAGGCATTTACGTTTTGAAAGAAAGATGGGAAAGCAAGCGGGAAGATACACTGGGAGACATACGCACAGAGGACCCAGACTCAGATGTATCTACGCTGTCTTTAAGGCGCTTTCCGAGACTTAATGGGGATCTCCTCGGCCTGTAGACTGCATAACGGTCGGACTATAGTGCAAAACGTCTTGTTCTCTTCAGTTCATCCAATGCTTATTTTCTGTCCACACTGACGTCCTTGTTGGTCCCTCGCGCACTCAAGCACAAGTAGAAACAAAAATAAGGCGCAGACCCAAAGACAAACGGAGTAATACAACTGGCACGGACAAAGGCAAATATTGACACAAACTTTTACCGAATTACGAGACAAAAGCATGCACTGCGGTAAACCGTAGGAAATTTGTACACGCAGCTCTCCGGCATTATCAGCAGCAGGCCAACTCGCGAAGATCTCTGCGGCTACAGGCTGGTTTTGTCGTGTAGTTAAAAAGCAGCAGCCGTGGCTGCAGCAGGCGCTGCTGCTGCTCCTTTTGCTTCGGCTTCCAATTCTGGCTAGCTTCACTCTCCAAGGATCCAGTAACCGTGGCCAACGGGACATTTGTAGTACTTGCCTGCGGCAAGAAACGCAGCCACGGTCACCAAAAATAACAAACCTCGCTGCCAGAAGCTGTTCACACTGCAAATGCTGAGAGATTCCCTTTGCGTAAGTGCCGGCCTGTTGCTAGCAAGCCGCGTCTGAGGCCTCAAAAGGAGACCCGATTGACACATTGGCGTAGAAGCGTGCGAAAGTGTTCGTGCTTGACGTTTAGGCTTCAGGCTATTGGGCTTAGGATCTAGGGTCTACGCTTCCTTCGGGCTTGGCCTGACCGGATTGAATATCAAAGTAGCCGATGAGCTGAGAGGAGAAGAGACCTTCCTTGGGGTTTGGAAACCCTGACGGCACGATCTCATAAGTGGGGCTTGTGATATCGGGTGTAGGAATAAGGGGCTGAGGCTGCGTGCAGCAGCTGCGGGAGACGCCCAGAGTGAAATCGCCCTCTGAAATCACGCCCACCAATTTGCCGCAGACAGAAACCGCTAGACGCAGCATGCGGTGGTACTCCCTCATCGGAATCTGCGGAGCAACACAGCCCTGAGCTTAGCAGCTTACAGGAACAGGGTGACGAAGGAAGGAACGAAAAGATCAAACAAAGATAATACGCGGGGGAAAAGGAGGCGGGAATGAAAATGGAGGCAGGCACACAGGGACAGACGACGCCGAAAAAGAAACGAATACAGCTGCACAAGCATGCTTACAAACACGCGAAGAGGCGCAAACAAACAACGGAGCCTGAAAGTGAACAGGCGGGATGAGAAACTCAGGAATTTAAAACCTGGAGACAGATACAAACAAGAACAGACAAGAACGGCTGACCTGGTCACTGTTGACCCCGTGCTCCGTCTTGTAGGCCTGCAGTTCTTTAGGAGGTACGAAAGGGCAGACCTTGATGACGTCGTGTATGCTACTGAGGTCTGGAGGCTTCAAAGGCGGTGCATAGGGCTGCTGAGTCTGGTGTATGTACAACTGAACGCGTTTCTCCGCTATGTCTCGAGGCGTTTGCCCAAACACCATCGCCTTTCCGATCACTAGACTGAGGCCATGAGCAATACCCGATGAATTAAAAACTCTAGATGCCGGGGCATCGGCAAACAACGCAAAGATACCCCAAGGATAAAACTGCACCTGCATACAAACCGCAGATCCAATAGCGACATCATTAGCTGCACTGCCGAGAGGTCCAAGCAACAGCAGCAACAGCAGTAGCATCACAAATAGCAACATTACCAGTAGTGTCAGCTGTAACAGCAGCAGCAGAAAGCAGCAGCAGCAGCAGCAGATACAGCTGAATTCGGGCACGAAAATAGCAGCGCAGTGCGACCCCACAGCTTAAAATTGTGAATAGAGAACGGGCAGTAGAGCAGAATGCACGTTGCCCATATTGGAAGCCTTGCCTAGCTTGGCACACATGCGGCTCGAATAAAAAAGAACATAATCCTAAAATTGAAGCTTATGAGCGCACCTTCAATTGTGAATCGGAAAACTTGCCTGTTTGACTGCTCGAGTAAAGAGGCCAGAGGAGACAGCGACTATGGAGGACTGGAAGGCAGAGGACCGCGAGGCTGCCGATGTGAAGGGCCAAGAAGGGACAACGACGTGGCCGTAAGGATGAACGCACACCATATGGAGGCCCTGGAAACTGCTGCAGGTCTTAAGGCGGCAACAGAGGATTCGGTGAGGTGGGATTCGAGCTCGCTGCAGCTGGAGCTGCCTCTGATTTGCAGGGGAACCCTTCCAGGCAGCAGCAGCTGCTGCTGCTGCTGCAATGTCCTCCGCGCCCACAACTGAGCCGGTCCTGTTTGACGCGGCTTGCTCGTCGGTAGCGGACGGCACAGCAGCACCACTAGCAGCTGCAACAGTAGAGGAGAGCTCCCTCTGATTGGCAGTTTCACTCTGGGACACCTGCTTTGAAGTTGGAGAGTCGGCGGCCACTCCACAGGGGCGCAGGAGTCCCCTTGAGGCGGCTCGGGAGGCAGTGGTGACTGCAGCACTGCGTTCTGTGTCCTCAAGTTCTGTGTCAGAGTTGTCTGTCTCGCAGTTGTCGAAGCCGTTGGCCCGTTTCTGCTTCTCGACGGAGGTCCAGGGTACACCGCTGAGTTGGATGTCGAGGTAGTCGCAGGCATTAAGCATTAGAAGCCACTGGAGCTCATCCACCCGGAAGGCTGTGGGAGCCTTCAAAGGCATTTCTGAAAACTGAGCAGCGTGCTGTATGTGCGGGTAGCGGCAACCGTCTACAGCCAACAGCAGTTTTCCTTGGTGCCGGTCCACCGCCAAGTGGAATGGCGCACAGCTGAAGTATTCAACGGCGGATAGGCCGTCAGCAAGACCCTCAACTTGCCCCTCCAGAAAGAGCCTTTCTGATGCGTGGCCACGTAAAGGCGGTGGGCAATCCTGGCATCCTCCACCAGCGGCAGTTGCCGAGATGGCATGAGGGGACCCAGAGCCAGGGCTGCTCTTGTCTGCTTGAAAAACCTCCCGCAGGCGGCGTATGGGGCTCCTTGCGAAACCAGAAGACGCCTGAGGCTTCTGAAACGGCTGTGGTTGCTGCTGCTGGTGCAACTGAGGTGGCCGCAACCTGGAAGCACTACGCTCGAGGCTAAGCGGTGGCGAGGAAGCCGCAGCAGCTTGAATGTTCTCTGTGGCGGGAGATTTTTGGGCTGCATACAACTCGTCTGTGGGGCTCACTTGTGCTCTAGGAGAAGCAGCAACGATGCCCATCTTTCTTACTGCAGCTATCCAGCCCGTGGAAGCAGCAGCAGCAGCAGTCGCTGCTACAGCAGAAGCCGCAGCCACAGCTGCTGCCGCTCCTGCTTGAGCTCCTTTGATAAGCGCCGTCGGGTCCAAGTCAGACGCAGCGGGCCCCCCAGGACTTTCCTGCCATTTTTTCAGGTGTTGCTGCCAGCCAAAGGCGTCACTGCTGTCGTCGTCTCGTCCTCTTGTCAGTTGCCACGGCACTCGTGAAGTGGCCTCTGTAAGGCCCCCACGAGGTCTAGCGGCCGCTTCAGGCCCCCTGATTTCGCCCGCTGTCTCCGCCGGAGTGTCTGCATTTGTGTGCTTAACATAAGGCTTCAGAGGCTCCGGGACCGTTGGGAGGCGGCTGAGCCTCCGGAAACAAGTAGTGCTTCTCTCGCCCCAGGGCAAAGGCCCGAGAGCGCCCCGCTCGTTGGGGTGCACTGCGTAGACGCCATTAAGCTCATCAACCCAAGCTTCTGAGCACCAGAGAAAAAGAGGAAGGTAAACAGGACCACAAGGAATGCACCAGTAGGTGCTATCTGCAAGCATCTGCACGAGTGTCTGCAGCACAAAGGCGGGCCCGCTGAGGTTTAGCGGGTTCTCCCCTTTGAGGTGACTTACGAGGGCTGCAAAGCCCTCAGCTTCCCGAGGCTCAAGCCTTATGGCTCCGCAGGCAGTGGTCCTCGGCTTCAGCGCTCCTAGAGCTCCAACGCCCTCCGGCTCCTGAACTTCCCTTTCTGTTAGGTCCTCCGTGACACGCACCAATCGCGCCAAGAAGGACTCCCGCAGCCTTTCAGATGCTAGCAAAGAACGCGGCAGATGTACCCTCAAATCGTCCAGCGCAAACACCACATCTTGATCAGCGACAGCAGAGGCTAAGGGGCCCGATGATGCTGTTTCTGGCGGCGGAGGCATACTGCTTGCCTCCGCTTCGACACCCGGGCTCTCCGCCACTGGGTCACCAGCATGACCGGCACTACAGGGGGGGGACTCCGGAGAGTGAGCATTGCTGGTAGCATGGGCATTAAGAATCAAGGGCCCATCAGGAGTCAAGCGCCCAAACGATTCAAGAATGGTGGCCTCAGTATCCGGTGACTCAGTGGGGGAACAGGCCCCAGATAAGCAGGAAGACCCAGAAGCTAACGCGTCGAAGGTGGGGACCACACGGCTAAGGTTTCTAAGGGTAGAAGACCGGTGAGAGGGTGTCATACGTGAAGGAGTCTTGAAGGCTTCTCCGGGTGAGTCATCATTGGCATGAGCTCTGTTAGGTCTAGAGGGAGCGATGGAGGTCTCTGCGGTGAGATGTTGTTCGCTTGTGGTGTTGAACTCATTCTCCATAATATTAGAATTCTTCTGCCTATCGTTTTTGATGTTAAGGGTCTGAGTCTAGCGGTTTGCCGGTGGGAGTCGCAGGGTCACTTCAACGCATGGTTGTATTGCTGCCACGCAAGGCAGGAAAGGACAGAAGCAGACGCCAGGTTAAAAAAAAATGTTGAGATTGCACGTAATAGATAGTTATAAATTTTGTAATTAAATTTCACGGGGCGAGGGCCTCCACTGCAACCATAGACACTGCTCAGCACACTCCCCACTGTACCCATTGGTCCTCTGCAGCGGGCCATTGCAAAAGAGTACCTTACCCAGGGACATCCGACACATGCTACATATTGAAATAACCTCCCAAATGACTTAGAAGGAGGAGATTATATAGCAGGAACTCCTATCTTTCCTCAGCTCCAGCCCGCACACTTGTGTTACGTCGGTATACGTGGGGGCTTTGCTCCGACAGCGAACCTCTAACCTCACTAAAAACTGCGAAAAAGCGTGTATCTTATACATAAATGTGTACGGAAATAATTCGGACCAAGCTAAACTCCCAACTGCAGGGCAACACCGACAGCACTAAACTCTCTGTCAGTAGGTTGGGGTTGTGGGTTCTGTGGTACCAGCGGCACGGGAGTGACAAAAGACAACACCTGAAGGTCAACCCGCAACGTACGCCAGTAGCGCCACACCCTCCAAAGGCTCTAACAGGCTAAGGCCGCAGTAGTTTCAGGAGGCCTACGAGCCTCAATAGCCTCAGCGGCAAAAAGAGCTGTGACTATATTCGGGGCATCAGGGTCTTTAGGTGCCCCAGAAGAGGTCCAATGCGCCTTAGCGAGCTCAGTCGAGTGGCTGGCAAAGAGGGAGGCCCACACACGCCTCTTAGAAGTGGTACTTGCAACTGATTGTTTCTACGCACTGTCTACTGTCTTTACTAAAGCAGCCCCTGTGTTGGAGCAGCATTTTCGGAATCCAAGCACGAACACCAGGTGGCAAAAATTGCACTTCCCTTCACAAGGACAAGTGTTCGTCAGAAAGCGACAAGAAAGACAACAAACAGCCTGTTCCCTAATCTCCTAGGACCTTCAAAGAAAGGCTGAGTAGAGTAAGTGTCTTTGCAAAGTGCAGCACAAGTTACAGCAAGGGGTTCAAATCTTCTGACGTATTGACGGTCTCCACCCCTTCACTATACGCGGATTTGGCTTCCTGGCTGCCATGGACGGTGACCTTCTGACAATTTTTCTTTACAGTGGTGTCCTTCTCTTCAGTCTCCGCCCTGTGGCGCAGCACAGTTGATTTCCCCCCAAAATGGTTATGCTTACAGAGACAGACGGTCGAGCCAAAAAGCCTGAGCCTCGCTGCTTGTCTGATTATTCTTGTTTGGCACAGCGCAACAGTGCCGGCTGCCGTAACAGCGCTGACGATAACTGTAAAGGAATTTGCAGCCCTGCCCGGAGCAGCAGCAGGCAGCAGCCTGCTTGGCAGCGTGATTTCCAGGTGTCGCTGCATATGTCTCACCGTCTCTTTCCCGCTCGGCCTTTAGGCCCCCAATATGGAGCCGGGTTAGGTAGCCAGCGGGCTACATGCTTCTTAGGCTGTGCTTTGTTTTCTTCAGCGGTTGGAGGGGACAAGTCTATGCCTTTTGTCCTGTGAAACGCAGCAGCTGCAGCTTTGTCCTAGAAGATACACTTTCGCCGGAAACAACACTCAGCCCTTTACCCTACGCTGTCCAACCAGAGCCTTAAACCTCTGGTACGAAGTGCGCAATTGCAGTAGTGGCAGCAACGCCCTCCTTAGAGAAATTAGCCCAGGCCGAGCTGTGGAGTCTGCTTGTGGGGATATGCGCCTCTGTATCTGCGTCTGTTTGCGCTTGTCTACTGTTCCTGCGTGTCTTCGTTGCATAGAGGAATGCACAAAAGTGCGAATTAGGAAAAGAGAACCTCAGTGTGAGGGGGCCTCTGCCTGGGTGTCTGTTGTATTGGCTCAGGGAGACGCACTGAATGGGCTTCCGCAGCACGGGGAAACGCTCGTGGTTTGCCGACGTGCTCTTGGCAGCGTGAGTGCGCAATATGTCGAAGACGACGACACACTGCGCGTCGGTCTTCACTGCCTGGGGATCGCGGTGGAAATGAGACGCCCTGTAGCCCAGCCGCCTGAGTGCAGCCCTGCGGAGCCCCACCTCGCCAAAGCAGACCGACACAGAAGCTCCGGCTAATGCAGCCAGCGAATTAAACGAACAAACGCACTCAGGCGTGACAGCCGCTGTTTCTGCAACAAAACGACACTCCAACTTATCGGCTTGAATGATAACAAAAAGATCTTGGTGCTCCTAAGTCAATGCTAGAGGTCCGAGGGCTCCGAAAATTCGTAGAGAAACCCACATGAATGATGCAGGCTTTATCATCGTGAGCTTGTTGCGTGTGCACAGCGAAGGCAGCTGATAGTGCAGCGGCACGTCTGGCAGCTCCTGCGGTTTGCATGCATGCCCAGGCAACGCAGCAGCTGCCACTGGTGTTCATCCCGCGCCAGATAGCCAGGCCTAAGCGGGGCTCCTTCTAGTTTAGCTACAGCTCCTTAAATTGCTCGAATCATAGAGTGCATGTGGATGAATTCATGAGGCATAGTGTGGGTCGCGACGAGTATAGTGGCTGTCCGAAACACTCTCACTGAACTGGGAGCAAGCACAAAACTTGTGTATTCAAGAAAGGTAACAGACCTCTTGTAGAGCAGTTAGCATTCCCCTTATACGCGTCTGCATTGTGAGCCCAGGAAGAGTATCCTTTGACTTGTCTAGTTCCTCCAGACAGAGGCCCACAAACTCCTGAAGGCATTCGCACATCTTCATACATTCTGCTGCTGCTGTTAGTGCTGCCAAAAGGGATGCTTCTAGAAATGCCCTTGCTCTCAATGACGTTGCTGCTGGTACTGCTGCTGTTGCTGTAGCCTGGGGACCCGGCGACCGCGTGTGGTAGTCACCAAGCGCAATGACCCCTCCTAAAACATCCCTGTTTGCTAGTACTCACTGTCGAGCTCAAACCGAGCTAAACTTCAGCTCAGTAGAGCTGAAAAGTGCAGGTGAGGGCCTCTTACTCTTGCCACGACACCGCACACAGGTCTAGACAACAGGTACAAGTGGCACGTATGAACCTGTATGGGCTAAAGACAACTCTTAAAAGCACTGCTCCCACCTTTAGGCCATCCTCAGTTCTACACAAAGGTCACAAGAAGCTCACCGGGTCGTAGTACGGTCCGGAGTATATGGGGCCCCCTAATAGAACGCGGCCTCCGCATTCACTGCACTGGGTTGCCACGCCCTCAGGCAAGCTCGCTGCCTTGTACTTCAGTCTAATGCCATCTGCTGCAGCAACTTGTTCCTCTTTGCCAGAGCTGTTGCTGCTCTTGCTGCTGCTGTTGCTGTTACTGTTGCTAGCGTTCTCCCCCACAGCAACGGCTTCTGCACTTTCTCCCTGAGACGGAGGGACCTGCTTCTGCTCTTGTGCATCTTCAGCGTGGAGAGACGACCCCGAACCCTTAGCTTTTCGCGGCTTGGGGGCTTGGCTGCCTAAGGGGGCAACTGTGAAGGCCTCACAGGAAGGGCAGTGAAAGACCTGAAAAACAAAAAAAGGCCTCAGCTTTCCGTGGGTGGTCACGCAGAGTTCACCGAGACTAGGTGGCTTTAAACAGGAATTTGGAGTTGGTGAACTGTTTGATAATAGTCCCATACACTGTTTGGCTGTTGTCCCTTCTGCTTAAGGCTGATACTCATGAGCAGCAGCAGCAAAAGCGATTGAAGCAGCAGCAATCCCAACTTGCCATGGCTTCCTTTTGGTGAAGCTGCTTGCACTGCTCTGGGGACTCAACGACGCGCACAAAAAGGCGCACGTAGAAGTCCACGCTCAAGCAGAGCAGCGGCTGCACTGCCTTGCGCTGCTTTGCTGCAGCCTGAGCCACGGCATGGAGGACGACGCTGGCCGCAAAGACAAACAGGCGCACAGCCATACCACGCAGAGGGCAGCCACTGTGGGGGAAGGTGCTTCCAGGCGCAACAGCATCAGCAACAGCGGCAGCAGCAGAGGCGCCCCGTTGATGTAGAGTAGCCTACAGCTGGCACTGCTCTTAACAGCTCACATTAGCCTGTAGGGGCCCCCTGCAACGCTAGAAAAATCAGTAGCCACCTGCCCCGCGAGAAGCAGGTAGCTGGGGGGCTTTGCTGAGGGACCCCACTACAGCTAGGCCAGCGCCCTCGCATGTGCAGACTCACCGCACTGCCACTTCGTGGTGAGCACTCATCTTGGCCGTTGCTCCCCCGTACTTGTAGTATGCGGTTTCTAAGGCGTTGCCCACAAGAGTGCTGGTGTCAGTGCTGGTGACGCACAAGAGCCCCCCGCTGCGCACAGCCCCCACTGCTGAGTCTAAGAAGGGGGAGCAGCTCCCGTAAGGGTCAATGTCCACTATGTCGAACCAAAATGGAGCTCCGCCTTCCTCCACAGCAGCAGCAGCAGCAACAGGTGCTGCTGGTGCACCTGCTGCTGCTGCCTCTGCCGCAGCTGCGGCAGGCTTGAACAGTGGTGGCACCAACAGCAGCTCCTCCGGGGGGCAGCTGAGGTCAAACGAAGAAGGCACTGAAGCCCCTGCTGGCAAACTGTTAATCTTCTTTAGAGTCCCAGCGCTCAGCGGGGGATGGCTCAGCAGGTGCATCAGGCGCGTCGCCTCGCTGCAAGTTGCTGCAGCAGCAACGCAGCAGCACACGGGGGCAACGAGGGGCTCCACAGGAGAATAAAAACCAGAAAATAAATATAATATGCGACTAAATATAAAAGCGTAAGGAGAGCGAAGGCCCTAAGACACATCTAAAGTCAATACAAAAGCCAACAAGGCCACCCAGATACCCCTGCACACCCAAGAAACGGTGCTGAGGAACTTCATTCAACTTCGCATTGGCCTTTGCTGCTGCAGCTGCTTTTGGGTCCAAGTCGTTGGCCACGGCGCAGGCCACAAGGGGCCCCAGCTCCTTGAGGTATCGCAGGCTGCGGAGGCCTGAGGGCCGAAAACACAAACAAAGCTAAAATGGGAGCCATTTCTATGATATTATGGCAGAACTACACCAATATTTGCTGCCTTTAATGGATAAAAAAACGGGTGCAGCTGCAGCCGCCTGCAACGCGAGGGGCAGCCCCGTGCAGCGAAGGACGCTGTTGCTGCTCCCGCTGCTGCTGCGCTGCTGTGGCTCCTGTTGCTGCTGCTAGCGCGGCTGCTGCTGCAACTAGAAGGCTCATGCATGCAGCGAGCACAGGGGCTGAGTGAAATGAGACGCGGGGCCAACAGCAGCAAGGGGCAAGTCCGCTGGGCTACAGGGCCTTCAGAAAAGCCCCAGCCCACACATAGCATTAAGCAAGCAGTAACCAGCCAGCAGCAGCAGCAGCGGCAGCAGGGGCTTCATAGAAGCGCAGGAGCCAACAAGGGAAGAAGAAGAGAGAAACGAGAAGAGGCAAGAAGCCGCGCAGCAGCCAAAAGGTCACTCAAGCGGGGAGCAGCAGCGGCAGCAAGAGAGCTGAGGAGGTAAAAGTCACGCCGCGAAGGCCCGGAGGAAGACAGACGGAAAACAGCAAAATAGGGGGACAAGAAGTGTCGAGGCAGCCGCAGCAAAGTGAGGGCAGAAAAGCACAAAGGAAGACATGGAGAGGTAGCAGCAGCAAGACACACAAACAAACAACAGAGCTGCCCTGCTGCTAGCCCCCAGGCCCACCTGTTGCTGCCAGGGGCTCCAGCACATTAAATCCCACGAACTCCAATGGCTGGGGCTCGGGCCGGCCTTCCGCCTTGCAGCGAGCCAAAGTTGCAGCAGCTGCAGCGCAGCAGCAAACCACGTTTCGCTGTGTCAACAGGAGCCGCAGCAGCCCCAGCGAACGCAGAAGCAGCAGCAGCACAGGCAACAAAACACTGGATACGCGCGCGAAAGAAGCGCAGTGGTCTCTCTAGGGCGTTGCTGCTGCAGCTTGCTGATGCGGGGCGGGTGGCATAACTAGCTAGCTAGCGGCTAGCTATGGCGCCGCTGGCTAGCTGCCTAGGCTGGGCCGGCTTCTTACAACGCTGGTTGAGCACTTGCTGCTGCTTGCATGCAAATGCCTTCAGGACAAGCAGCGACAGGTCCCTGTTGAAGACCTGAGCAGGGTTAAAGAAGACAGACTCGCCGGGGGTAGCCTCCAAAGTGACCAGCCCCTCCCTAATCTGCCCCGTAGCCCCGGTATCCGCTCCCGATTTTGAGCTGGGCCCTTGTCCTTTCAAGTTCTGGGCTGCCTTTGGGCCCTGTGGACCCGCCATCTTCCCAGTGGGCAATGATTCGCTGTAGCAGCAGCAGCAGCAGCGCCGCCAGCGCAGCAGCAGCCGGGGCAGTGAGCCTCAGCGCAAATAGGGCACACAGAAGCCCTGAAGGAACAAAAATCACATAGAAAAATGTAAACGAGCAGAAGAAGGCCTCAAATGGACGGTGTCTCACCCCGCTGCATGCTGCTGTGGGGCCCCAAGCAGGGGCTGCCACGTCGCCAGGAGCAAAGGCTGTGTCACCAGCAGCAAGGGAAGAGGCCGCAGGGAGCAGGTCTCATTTACGCGTTAATGCGTCTTTATTTTTAAAGCCTGAGTTACTTTTCATGGCCGGGGTGCCCCTGTGGCTGTCCGCTGTGCCCCACCGTCCAGCCCTCCCGGGGGCCCCCTAAGTATCCAGGGGCCTCGAAGACCCCACTTGTGGCAGTTTGCCTCTCCAACTTTAAGAAGGCTGGAATTCTTTGATTCTTTCCCAGTGGCGCGTAGGCACCTGCATCCGCGGCTGCTGAGCTGTGCTGCCTCGCTGTAGCACTCTATAGCCTCTACAGGAGCAGAAGCCCCCAGAGGTCCTTGCAGCCTGCGCGGCGGCTGCTGCTTGGGGCGCATTTGCGGCTGCGGCTGCTGCTGCGGGCCGGGTCTGACGGAGCAAGCAGCGTTGTTTGCTGCAGCGGAAGCACCTGTGGGCCGCAGCGAGTCAGCGCAGCAATGACAAAGGGCACAGAACACCTGCAGGAAGTGGGCGGCGCCCGCGGGCAGCTGCGGCCCCGCGTAGAAGGCCAGCCCCTCAAAATTGCAGAGACGGTGCTGCGCAAGCGGCGGCAAGATCTGGAATCTCGGGAGAAACGGGCGGAGGCCCTGGCCAAGGCGAAGAAGGTAGGGGGCTCCTACATGTGGGCCGCTGGCCTTATAGTCCGTAGCAGCAGCAGCAGCAGCAGCAACGGCAGCGGCAGTAGGATGCTGCTCGTGGCAGCAGCAGCGGCTGCCGTGTGCTGCTGCTGCTTCCACGGCTGCGGCAACAGCTGCGGCCGGCGCGCCCTCAACTCGAGCCGTCGATGACTGTCTGCCGCAGCAACGCAAGCTGCAAGAGAAGCCACAGCAGAAGCACGGAAGCTGCAGCAGCAAAATAGAGACAGCAGCAGCAGCAACAACAAAATAGGACTTCGGTTTGTATGTGATTGCCGGCGGCCTGCAGGCACGGAAGAAAGCCCAAAGGCCAGAAGTGAAGACCGCTCAGTACTTCGTTAAAAAGGCTCTTCTAGCAATGAAAGACAGCAAAAGGTCAGCAGCAGCAGCAGCAGCAGCAGCAGTTGCGCACGTGGCTGCTGCTGCAGCGGGCTCCTTAGTAGCCCTGTTAGCGGCAGCGTGAGTGGAGCGTCAGCTGCAGCAACGAAGATAAAGGTAGCTCCAACAGATGCAGCAGCAGCAGCAGCATGTGCAGCAGCAAGGGCAGCAGGAGCAACAACGTGGCGGTGCCGTCTTGTTGCTGCAGCTGGTCTGCTACATTAGCTGCCACTCTGTTGTGGGCTGCAGGGGTGCTGCTACTGCACCCGTGGTTTACAGCCAGACATTGTGGATAGTGCAGCTCTTTTGCTTCTGCAGCGGCTGATGCAGCTGCTGCTCCTGCTGCTGCGGCGCCTGCCGTTGCTGCACATCTTTCGCTGCTGCTGCTGCACCTATGGCTGCTGCTTCGTATGCTGGGGTCTGTGCAGGCTACGAGTGCAGCGAAACCGCAAGCCGAAGCAGCAGCGAAAGCCAGAGTGCCGCGTGTACTGTGTAGTTCGTAACCACCGCAGGGGCGGCTGCAGGGAAACGCAGGAGGCACTGAAGGTAAGAAGAAAAAGAAAAAAAACGGGGCCAAAGAGGGAGAGAGGGGCCCCAGGGGGGCCCTCCTGCTCCTCTTTGGCCCCTTTTTTATCTTTTCTTAGCCAGTTGGAGCCTCTCGTGAGGCGCCAGCTGACTGCGGGGTCTTCGGTGACTGCGTGCTGGGCCCGGCGGGGGTGGTGAAGCTGAGAAAGGTGGGGTTGTTGTTATTCTGGCTGCACAATGCAGGCCCTGGGGCTCCCGCGGCCGTACAGCTGCACTCTCATTGCCAACGATGAGAATGCCACGAAGATTTTGCGCAAGATCTCGCCCTTTGTCTTCTACGGACTTCCCTCAGCAGAAACTATTCGCCGACTGTTTGTCACAAGGTTCAACTGCTGCTGCTGCTGCTGCTGCTGCTGCTGTGTTTGGTTGCATGATGCGTGTGTGGGGGAAGAGCCCGAGAGCCGCGCGTAGAGCCCTTTATGTCGGCAGAGTGTTTGCTGCTGCTGCTGCAGCTGCGTGGCTCTTCAGTTGCTTTGGCCTTGTTTTTCTGCTGCAGGGCCCGGCTAACCAGCGAAGACGGGGGTCCCCCTGTAGCGCTGTCGGACAACATGATGGTGGAGGAGGCGTTTGGGTCTTTGGGCCTTTTCTGTGTGGAGGATCTCGTGCACGAAGTTGTCAACTGCGGGCCCCACTTCCCCCAAGTCATGCAGCGCGTGGGGTGAGCCAGCGCTGCAGCCCCTGAGGCTGAGGCCCAGGCTGGTGGCTATAGGTCAGGCTAGTGGCTATGGGGCAGGCCGGCTTTTATAGGTCAGGCTGGTGGTTTTAAGGCGTAGCTGGGAAGCCAGGCCTGGCTGCTGTACCCACGGCAGGTAGCTGGGGCCCGGCGCAGGGGCTTGGGGGCCGCTGGCGGCTGAGAGGCCTTTTAAGTCCCAAAGACACTGCAATTTGTCAGCCAGCTGCCGCCTAGGACTCAGTGAAATAAGCTAAAGAGTGATACGGGGAACAGCACCAAAAGCTACATTAGCATGGAGCGGCATGAGGCAGATAGCGTTGCTATAAAGGAAGCCCCCGGGGTACCTTGTGCGCCTTTTGCTGCAGACACTTTCAGCTGGAGAGCCTCAAGCAGGTTGAAGAGTAAGATGCCGGGTTCACTGCTTTCATTTCCCCTTTCACCTTTCGCTGCCCTTCTCTGCGCTGCCGGCCCCGTATCTGTTTGCTGTTTAACTTTCCGTGGGCCCCATAGGAACTCCGTGTTTCCATCTTGCTTCATACTGCTTGGCTAGTGTGCTGCTGTTGGCCCGCAGACTGGAGGCAAAGCGACTGGAGTATGGGTACATTCGGAACAAGATCGACATGAAGGTCGCTCAGCTGGCTTGAGCTGTTCGGCCGCGGGCCTGCACAGCGCAGTACGTACACCTGACTGTCTGCGTTCGGTGTACATACAACGCACATGGATGCACAACTGTGCGCGGGTCCTCGTATCCAGCCCCTTCTCTTTTAGCTGTCGGCCAGCAGGGCTCAGTGGCTTGGTTGGGGAACTACGAGACAACTACATTGTGGAGGGTAAAAGCAAAGACACAAACGTAGTTTATTTGCAAGCTGGGCTGTGATGGCCATTTGCTATGCATTTGCAGCCCACAGCACGTACAAATCACGATTAGCGAGGGCCAGAGAGTTAGGCAGAAAGAATGCAAGGGTTGCTCCTGCCCTGAAAAACTGGATATTGTGCTAGTTAGGCAAGTGCCGCTGCTCCCTAAGCTGAGACAGCCAGATCCTGCTGAACAACTATCACCTCATGGTCTTGCAGCAGAGCCCTGCATGCGAGAGTAACTCCAGCTAGCTTCGTTTGGCAGGCTGCTGCTAGCTGCTGGCAGCAGAAAGAGTGGCTAGTAATGACTGCGAAGGCTTTATCCTAGAAAGGATGCCTCGTCTAGCTGCGAGCTCTGTGGGGCCACGCAAACGAGACGGCTGAGACCTTAAAATGGAAAATCAAGGAACAAGAGAAACGCATCCAGAAGATGGAGGACTATGCTAACGGCCAGCTAGCCAGCGGGACACTAGCTAGCCGGTGCAGGCCACGGCGCTACGCTGGGCTGGCTAGCAAGTGTAGTCTTGTAGCAGCCTGACTTCAGGTGTGGAGACAAGCTTAGGAAGGACCAGCACCTCCCTCCCAGCTGTAAGGGACTCGCCCCCGTGGAGAGGCACCCACGGGCTGGCCTCTGGGCTGCTGCAGGCGTCGGCAGCGGCGCCTCTATTCCCCGCTGCAGCTAGGGGGCCCCTAACTAGAGCCGAAGCGGCAACAGCAGAGGGCCCTAGGGGCCCACCCCACGCCCCGAGGCCCTCACAGGCACCCCCTGGGGGGGCCCGCCTATATAACAGCCTCACGAAAGGAAGGCAAAGAGACCCCGCCCTTAAGGGGATGGCAGAGAAGGACACAGTGGTGCTTCTGCCTCCTTCTAACAAGACGGCTCTGCACTTCGAGCCCGCCTGCAGGATCAGCAGCAGCAGCAGCAGCAGCAGCAGCAGCAGCAATGAGAGATACTGAAGTGGCCGGCACTTACACAACAAACAAACAGCAAACTTGAGACCCCGCCTAACCCCACAGATCCTACAGCGACACAGCAAACCTAGCAACTCTTCACAAGGGCCAAAGATGACGCAAAAAAGAACATTTTATCACACATTTCTGTTAAACTTGAGATGATTCTGCTGCCTCCTCCAGCCTCTCTATCCTCACCATTAGCCAGTCGTGGCACTCCCCGACTCGAGGTGACTTTGCAGGAGTTTGAGTGCCCCCTGAGGCCCTTTGCCTTCGCTTTTCCAGGGCCCCGGGGGTCCCCGGGGGCCCCCCACGGACTTGGCTGCCCGGCGGGTCTTGGCGGTCAAACTCTAAGCACACTCTGTGGCATATTTCCATCGCCTCCTGCAGACGCAAACCAGCAAACGCGTGCGGATCGCAGCAAAGCACACGGTCAGTTGCGCTTTGCTCCTGCAGCCGCAACTGCTGCTGCTGCATTCGCCTGGCCGTTGCTGCTGCGGCAGCCAGCTGGCTTCTGCTGCTGCTGCAGCCAGCTGGCTTCTGCTGCTGCTGCTGCAGTAGCGAGGGCCGTCAACCTACGTGCGTCGTGTTCGTGATACGGAGCTGCACACACAGAGCTGAACCCACGCGTCCCGTGCGCGGGCAGTCGAGGGCAGTTAGCAGCGGGGGCGCCCTAGCCGGCAGCTGCAGGGGAATCACGTAGGACAGCGAGCTGCGGCTGCTGTCGCTGCAGTTGCTGCTGCTGCTGCTGCCACTGCTGCTGAGCTGCGCGTATGAAAGACCGCCTAGGCTACCGCAACATTCTGGCACTGAACTCCCCAAGTTCCCGCCGTCGACCTCGTAGCTCACAACCAAGTCATAAAAAGCCATCGAAGGGCTGTTGCTGCTGCTGCTGTTGCTGCTGCTGCTGTTGCTGCTGCTGCTGCTGCTGTTGTTGCTGCTGCTGTTGCTGTCACCGCTGTTGCTGCTGCTGCCACTTTTATTTTTCGTCGGAAGACTGAAAACCCCGTAAGAGGGGAGAGGGTACTGCACCTTTACGAGAAGAGTCTGTACAGCACCGGGCGGCAGTCGACTGCCCAGCGTGACTGACTCTGAAAAACAAAAAGAGGCACAGAAGAGGCATTTTATATATTTAATAGAAGTGGATGAAGCAGCAATCAAAAAACCTGAATTCCTGCATCAAAAGTAAAAACGTAAACACACACAGTAACAAAGGCTTAAAAACCGAAGAGAGTACTTTAAAGTGCTGCAGCAGCACTAGAAAAGAAGCACCAGCTGGCGCAAAAAGAAGAACAGCCGCGGGGGCATGGGACTGGGACCTGCAGCAGCAATGGCGTAGGCCGCAGCAGCAACAGAAGAAGCAGCTCACCTCCAATTTGTGCTACTGCCTCATTAGATAAGGGGTCTGGAGGGGCGATCAGAGACACGGATGGAGCGCCCAGTTGCAGTTCGTCCTGTTGCTGCTGCTGCTGCTGCTGCCGCGGCCGAATGGACGCGGACACAAGCACAAGCCTGTCTGCTGCTGAAGCAGCCTTCAGCAGCACCTGCACCACCTGCAGCGCGTCGGAGACACGGGAAAGCGAGATACAGTGCGTGAGCGCAGCGCTGACCTCCACGCTGTGAAGACGGATCACCATTAGCTCCGGCTCCCCGCTGCTGCTGCTGCTGGTCTTGCTGCTGCTGCTGGGGGCGCAGTTCGAACGAGAGGAGTGCCGTTGCATAGACTCAGCCTCCTCTGCAGCATCTTCTGCATCGTTCACCCCGTCAAGAGCAACTGCAGCAGGAAACATCCCGAGCTCGTGCCAGTCTTCATCTTCATTGTGTGCCGCCGGTGTGGTGGTACTTGCTGCAGTAGCTGCTGCAGCATCTGCTGCAGCAGGAAGCCTCTTCCTGCAAGTGAAGGCGAGGGCTGTCGCCACTGTTACAAGGCCCCGTCCAACAGCTGCCGCCGGCGGAGCTCGAGTGGGCCTGCTGCGGCTGAGGGAATCGGAAATGCTGATGCTGCTGCAGCGGCAGCGGGAGGCACCAGAGGGGCCCCCTGAAAGCGCTGAGTCGCTGCTGGGGCCCTTCATGTCTTCGCATGCGCCGCAGCTTCCCTGGAAACGCCATTGCATCCTGGAGGCACTCTGCAGCATTGCCGGACACACAGCAGCAGCGCACAGTAAGGCGGAAGGAACACACAGGTGCTGCTGCTGCGGCCCTTTTTGGTGCTCCTGCTGCTGTTGCTGCTGCTCCTGCTTTGCTGCTACCGCTCCTCTTGCCTCTGCTTACCAGAGGGGACTCTCCTGCAGCATCTGCTGGCAGCAGCCACTCCCCGCGAGGGTAGAAACTGTCCCCCGTGTGCATCTGCTGCAGCGCTGGCCCCCCTGTGAGCCCCCAGCCCGGGGCGCAGGAGACGCAGACAGGCAGCAGCAGCTGGACACAGGACCTGAAGGGGGGTAGCGGGATCCATCCAAGTTCCTCTTCGTCACTACTGCTGTTGCTGCTGCTTCTGCTGTTGCTGCTCCTGCTGCTGCTGCTGTTGCCTCCACTGCTGAGACGGGGGACCGCCACCACCACCTCTGCTCCCTCTGAGTCGCAAATGATCTCTTGCTGCACTTGGTGCACCTCGAACCTGCTCGCCTTGCTGTCAGCTGTTGCTGCTGTTGCTGTTGCCGCTGCCGTGGGGGCCACGGCCTGCCCCGTAGGGTCCTGTTTAAACTGAGACAAAGGAAACACTGAAGGAGACCCATCAATGGATAGACAAAGAGCACCCTCCCAGTCTATCAGCAGCTGAAGGGGCCTCGGAAAGGAGAATGTGGAGCAGCAGCTGCTGCAGGCTGTACGCTGCACATGGGAGGCTTGATGGCCCCAGCTGGGGGCCGCTTGCAAGCAGCTCCCAGCCTCCTGTGCAGCAGCAGCCCCTGCGGCGCCCGGTGTAGAAGAGGCCTCATTGCAGCTCCAGCTGCCGCTGTCCCTGCTGCTGCTCTGCTGCATGCGGCCAAATGCAACATGGGTGGCTGCTCTGGTGGCCACCCCCTTTGGGGCCCCATGGGCTGACGCCGCTGCTGGGGTCCCCTTGGCATCACTGAAGGACTCCGTGGGCAGCGTTTGCAGCTCAGAGGCGGAGAGACTCTCCACGGCTTCCTCCTCATCTTCAACGCTGCTGCTGCAGCTGCTGGGAGCCCCCACACTGAGGGCCTGCAGCACCCGCAGCCGTGGGGCGCCCCCATCTACGAAGCCCCAGGGCACATTTATGGTCAGCAGCAGCGAAGACTGGACGCCTTCCAGCAGCACGTTTGTGCTGCCTTGCAGCAAGTCTCCAGTCACGTGCTCCTGCTGCTGCTGCTGCTGCTGAAGGTTTTTTAGGCGCTGCAGCAGCATGTGGTGCTGCTGCGGCAAAAGGGGGTCCACCTGCACTGCCACGCAGGAACTCGAGTGTCTGTACTCCAACATGAGCGGGTGCAGCAGCCGCTCAAGAGCAGCACAAGGGTGCAGCAGCGTAGCCCCTGCAGGTGAGCAAGAAGACACAGCGAAGGTGCGAGGGTCTCCATAGAGTCTCTCTGCAAAGGCAGCAGCAGAAAGTTGGTCCCCTGCATCCTCTCGAACGTAGTAAGGGTTTGCGCACGGTCGTGCTGCTGCTGCTGCTGTTTCCGCTGCTGCTTCCGACAGGGCGGGGACAGATGAACTGCTGCTGCTGCTGCTGCTGTCGTTTCTTTCGTCGCTCAAAGAGTTCGTCGCTGCGTTGGTGTTCACAGATGCAGCTGCCGCAACAGCAGCAGAAGCACCAGACACACCAACAAGGGCTCTTTCCATTGCGGCCGCCACCCTCGGCAGCAGCGCCGGGGGCGGGAGGTCCCCAGCCCACTGCACAAAAACGATGTCATTTAGGAGGAAGCAAATTTGTTCAACTAAGAAGAGGCCGGGCTGGCAGCAGCACCAGAGCAGCCGCAGAGCATTAACCCCTGGGTGCAGCACGAGCTCCTGAGGATGCGGCAGCTCTTGCTGCTGCTCGTGTTGCTGCTGCTGCTGCTGCAGCGAGGCGGACGTCACAACCAGCCAACCCGACAACTCGGAGGTCGCCGCTGCTGCTGCTGCTGCTGCACTGGAGGGCTGCGATATCCCCTGCGCTGCAGCTGGGACGCCGGAGAGTCTGACAGCCACCGCGTCGAGCGGCAGCGGCAGCAGCAAGGCGGAGTGCACATACACTTCAATCTCCACAGTCTCCCCAAGGGCAAGAGACAGAGAGGGGATGCAGCCCCTGGCGCTGCAGGTCTGCATGAGGGAAACAGCGCGGGAGCGCAGCCGCCTTGTGGGGCTTGGGGGCGTCAGCGAGACTGCCTCATCCTCCGAGCCCGCAAGCAGCAGCTGGTGCTGCTGCACCTGCTGCTGCTGCTGCTGCCCCTGCCGCTCGAAAGCGTTCGACAGGACTGACGTCACTGCTGACGCTTCTTGGTGAGGGGAGTCGGACTCTGTCTCGCGTCCATCTGGGTCGCTTGCAGCAGCAGCAGCATCAGCTGCTGCTGCTGCTGCTGCTGCTGCACTGTCGGGCTCCGGCAGCGGAGTGCCGCCTGGGGGTGATGAGTCTGTCGACGGCCGCTCTGTTTGTAGAGCGCTTGAGTCCGCGCCGGGGTCTTCGTCTGCTGTGTGCTGCCTTATCGGGGTTGCTGCAGCAGCATCCGCGTTCACGGCAGCAGCAGCTGGGTGCAGCGGGTCGCGCTGTGCTACTGCTGCTGCTGCTGCTGAGGGGGTGCCGTCTGCTGCTGCGGCCGGCGGGCCCCTCAGCTCGCCCTCGAAGTGCCTCCCTGGGGTGTCCCCCTCAGAAGCCTCCTTTGAAATGTCAGCGAGGGCCGAGTCGGCAGCAGCAGCAGTTGGACTTGCGACTGCTGTTGCGTCGTCTGCTGCTGCTGCTGCTGGCTGCTGGCCCGAGAGCAGAGACATGGAAGATGAGCCCCCCGGCAGCGGCCTCAGCCTCTGTCCCAAAACCCCTGCAATGGTCTTGGGCTTGAGGCGAGAAAGAGTGGCCTCGTAGACGCGCAGCGTGGGGTGTATGTCCACCGCAGGGGAAGTGTGCAGCGCGTAAAGCGGCAGCAAATCTGCCAGCTGCCGCAGCACCGCGTGCTCCAGCAAGTCCTGGGCCAGCGAGTTTTGCCGCTGCTGCAGCGAGACGATCCCCCCCCTTTCTCCCCAGTAAAACGAGGCTGCATCGTAGCTATCTGCAGGGGCACAGGTGGCAGCAGCAGGGGGTGGGGGGGTGGGGTCACCCTCTCCAGTCCAGGCTCGTCCTGCTGCGCTTCCCCGCCGCAGCATGTGTGCGTGGGGGCCCCCCTGCGACCCCAGGGGCCCCAGGGGCACCCCAGCGAAGAGCGAAGCTGCGGAAATGCGAGACGTCGGAGTCAGGCTGCTGCCCGCCCGCTGCATGTACCAAGACAGAGAGACAGCCTCGCGGGGAGACAACCCCAGCTGTAGCCGAGAGGAAGCTCCTGGCAGCAGCTGTGGGGCCCCGTTGTACCCCGAGCCCTGCAGCGAGCAGCAGCAGCCGCAGACACACAGGCAACCCGCAGCTGCAAGTCTGCGGCCGCCTGCGCTCTAGGGCCGGCCAGCTGGGCAGCAGCAGCAGCAGGAGACTCAAACGAGGCAGCAGCAGCAGCAGCGGGAGGCACAAATGAGGCAACAGCAGCAGCAGCAGCGCGGAGCAGCAGCAACAGCAGCAAAACCCCCAGCTCACGTAGGGCAAATAAGCCACAGGCAAAGCCTTGCGGCGCTTTTGGCCCGGCTGCTCCCTGTGGGCGGCAACGGCAGCCCAGGCGAAGAGGTTTGGGGAGGCCTTGAGGTGTACAGACACCTGACTCAGGCTCGGCGGCAACCCCACATCTTCCTGCAGCGCGCTCCAGGGGCCGCTTTCAGGCTCCCCCTCTTCGGGATGCTGCTGCTGCGGCTGCGCGGAGTCGCTGCGGGGGCAAGCAGCAGCAGCAGCAGCTGCTGCTGCTGCTGCCTCTTGTGCGGTGCTGCTCTTGCTTGAGGCCAAGGACAGGAAGCGGCGAAGACAGTCCGCAGGGCCCTCGAGGTCTTGGGCCTCCAGACAGTCTAAATGCTGCTTCTGTCTTTGCTGCTGCGGCTCCCGCTGCAGTAGATCTTCCTGTCGCTGCTGCCGCTGCTGCTGCGGGTGCCTCGCCGCAGAAGAGTTGCTGAGTGCGTACAGCGTCGCCAGAGCTCCTCCCCTGTTTCCCTGCGCGGCCTCTGCTCGGGCCAGCAGCTTCTGGCAGCAAACCCAAAGCTGCGCGCAAGAAAACAGCAGCAGCAGCTGCAGCAGCTACAGAGCGCCCGCTGGCAGCTGCCAAAACAGCGGAGAGGCACTGACAGAGACCCCCAAAAGCAGCTGCCACAGCCACCCATACAATTAACAAGCTCATTTACGCTGCTGCAGCAGCAACCTTAAAAGCTGCTGCTGCAGCAGCCCTCCCCAGCGACTGGCACAGCTCGTCCCAATGCACAAAAAGGAAAAGAAAAAAAATGAAGAGTTGCATTAAAGGTGCTGGCAGCAAGACAAAAGTGCTGCTTTGCAAGAGCAACAGTTTTCTACGAATTGCCATATAACAGTTAATTAAGCTAGAGATGGGCACCACGGCAACTAGCCACGGGGCAACCCAGCTAGCTGCAAAGCAATGGGAGGCCAGCAAGAAAACACATAAGGACAGCTAGCTTGCTAGCATGATAGCTAGCTGGACAACGTGATGGCTAGCTGGGTAGCGTGATAGCTAGCTGGGCAAAACGGTGGCTAGCTAGCCAACACGACACTGGGCAGCATAATAGCGAGCTGGGCAAGGCGGTGGCTAGCTGAAAAACGCAATGGCTAGCTGAGCAATGCCGTGGCTAGCTAAGCAGCTTGATGGATAGCTGGGCACCGCGGCAACTAGCTGGGCAACTCGATGGCTAGCTGGGCAACGCGATGGCTAGCTAGCCAGTTCGCCTCAGCTGGCGTGGACTGGAGACAGTCGCGGACTGGCTAGCTGCAGTAGATAGACTCACATCTGTCCAGGGCTCTTTTAAGAAAAGCGGCAGCATCCTCTGGATGGCTAGCTGGCACTCTCGCGTGTCTCCTCTTTCTAAGTGAGTTGCTGCAATTCGCAGCTGCAGCAGCGCAGCATGGCGGAAGAAGCCGCAGTTGACGTAGTGCTGCCCCCCCAACAGCAGCACCCGCAGGTAGAGGCCCTGCAGCTTTTGCGGGGCCCCCAGGGCCCCCCGGAGGTCCGCCGGAGTGTAGACTTCGAGGGCTTCTCTGAGTTCTTCCACAGCTTCGGGCGGGAAGAACAGCGTGGCGTTGTCTGCTGCTGCTGCTGTTGCAGCCGCCGTTGCTGCTGCCGCCACTGCAGCTGGGGCAGCAGCAGCCGAGCTCGCACGCTGCTGCTGCTGCTGCTGCTGCGAGTCGGCGTCCTGTGCATGCGCAGCTCCGTTGAGCTCTTGGGACCTCGAAGGGGAAAGGGCCCCAGAGCCGCGTGGGGGCGTCGGGGGCAAAAGACCCACAGAAGCTCCCCACTCTGCAGCAGTCTTGAGTTTTGTGAGCCGCGGCAGCTGCTGGGTAACAAGGGCGTAGAGGGAGGCTGCACTCTTGGCCTGCCCGGAGGCCGTGTCTGCAGACAGAGCCTCGCTGCTGCTGCTGCTGCTGCTGCTGTGCGCGGGGTGGTGCGCGTCGGGGCGGTCGCCGCTGCGGCTGCAGCTTCTCCGGGTCGGGGTGCTGCTGCCTTCACCTTCTGGGCGCTCCCTGCCGTCCCCGCCTGCGCGGAAGAGCGCCCGATGCCGCTGCTGCTGCTGCTGCTGCTGCTGCGCGGCGCCTGCGGCGTCAGCGCCCGGGTCCTCCTTGAACCTGCTGTTGCTGCGCGAATAACCCGGCTGCCGGCGAGATGGCAGAAATGTCAAGTGACTGGGGGCAAAGCGCGTCAGAGTCCTGGCCACAGCTGATGTGGGGCGCCGCAGCAGCGGGAAAGAGGAAGCAAAAACATGCGAGACCCCGGAGGCCCGCGCAGCGCCGTCCCCTGGCTCCGCTGCTGCTGCTGCTGCTGCTGCTGCTGAAGACGAAGACGCCGTGCCCGCGCCCGACGAGGCGTCGTCGCAGTCCTTCGCTGCCAGAGATTCGCTGCTGCTCATGCACTGCAGCAGCAGCAACAGCAGCAGCAACAGAGGCACAGTTAAGATCACAAGCGGGGCCACCAACAGCTAGGCATAGAGACACCCAGCAAAGTGATAAAGCATCCAGCCGCTCCTTGCATGCACCGACACAAATTGGCTTGTTCCCTCCTTGCTACTGCTACTGCTGCTGCTGCTGCTGCTGCTGAGGCCGCAGCAGCAGTCACTCGCTCTTAGAGGAAAGCAACGGCAGCAGCTGCAGCTGGGGATGCGCAACTCACCTTAGCTGTAATGAAGTTGGCCAAGTTGAGGGCCCCCACGACGGCCCAGCACATGACCCTGGCGAGGACATCTGGGGGCTGTGCTGCAGCAGCTCTGAGGGCCCCCGCAAACAGCGCGAGGCCCCTAGAGCCCAACTCCTCCAGCTTTCCCAGCCGCATTAAATAAACTGATTGCCGACAAAATAAATATTCCCAAGTCTGCAGGGCCCCGAGGGTGCCCCCCCGCAGCTGTACAGACAGCGCAGCAGCTCGCCACTCGCAGGCCAGCAGCGGCAGCCCGTCGGCGCCCCCCACGGCGAAACTCGCGTCCCCCGCTGCTGCTGCTGCTGCTCCTGCTGCTGCTGCTGCTGCTGGGGGGCGAGGCAGAGACTGCAAAGAGGGGCCCTCCCACGCGTCGAGGACTCGCAGGGCGTCGCTGTATCGGCCGCATTTTCCTAGGAGGCAGGCGAGCGTGTCTCTGGCGGCCAAGACGCTTGCGGACAACACCTGCTGCTGCTGCTGCTGCTGCTGCTGCATCCGCTGCACTGCGTCCTCAGCAAGCATGATGCGGTACTCTACCGCGTTTGTGAGCGCCTCGCGGAGTCGCTGGAGGAAAGCCTACGGGGCAGAGCAGAGAGAAGCAAAGGCCCGCAGCACCTGGAACTCCTTTTCTTTAGTCTTTATTCCCATAATTAATTTGGAGAAACAGATTTAATTCAACAAAACCATCTGTTTGAATATATTCAGACAGAAGAGAAGGACACAGAGGCAGCGCGCAGCAGCCCCAGCCCAGAGAACAGCGGCCCCCAGCAGCGGCAAAGCAAAGACACTCAAAAAGGAGAAAAAGGGAAACACAGAAGAGGAAAAAGAAATTCAAAAACCCTAAACCCTAGTTTTAAAAGAAGAAAAGAGAAGGAGGCACGGTACGGAGGAGGAGAGGATAAAGAAGGGGAAAAAAGGGGAGAAAATAAAGAAAAAATGAAAAAAAATGAAGAAGAGATCTTCTCACCGCCCAGAGCTGCTCCGCAAGGGCGCTGCTGCTGGGATCGATCGATCCCAGAGGCAGCCGGAGGACTCTGTCTTTGCTGCCTAAGTCTGCGCGGATTTTTTCGATGAATTTCTTTTGCTGCTTCACTACTGCTTCGTTGCTGCTGCAGGCAGCAGCAGCAACTACCAGCCACTCCTCGTGCTGCTCCAGCAGCCGCTCGCTCCAGCTCCGCAGCAGCCGCCGCTGCTGCTGTCGGTACACCTCAATGCTGTCGTACTGCAGCAGCAGCAGGTGCACGAAGGGCCTCTCTGCTGCTGTCCACACGAGGCTCGGCGATTCCGCTGCTGCTGCTGCTGCTGCTGCTGCGGGCGTCACGGGAGCAGCAGCAGCAGCAGCAGCCAGCGAAGCCGCAGCAACACTCACTCCCAGCGAAGCCAGGGCCCCCGCAGCTGCCTTTTGAGCCACTGAAAAAGCAGCAGGGGGCCCCTGGGCTGGCGGGGGGTGGCCCCCAGACACAAAGGCAGACTGCGCAACAAACGACAAGTTTACTGTGCTGCTGCTGCACGCAGCAGCAGCAGCAGCAGCACCGCCCCCTCCATAAACTCCCCGCAGCACAAGCGGCTCCAGAGGCAAACGCTCCTCTATAGACGGCCGCAGGAGAGGCCAAATGTCGTTTTCATCTATAAACCAACGCACTCAAACCCCCACGACCCCCAAATCCTAAACCCTAAACCCTAAACCCTAAACCCCAGGCCCAAGATCGGCAGCCACTGTGTGTGTGTGCCCTAGCCCTAAACCCTAAACCCTAATAAAAGGCGAGGAACCATTGTGGGGCCTCAAACCCTGAACCCTAAAGCGTTAAGCCAAAACCCTGAAGCCTGAATCCTAAACCCTAAACCCCAAATCCTAAACCCCCAACCCTAAACCGTAGTCCTAAACCCTTGTGTAAGTAGCCACGGCTGAAACATGAGGGGTAGAGTCCTCACCGTAATACGAAATAGGAAAGGCATCTCTCTGAGCCATTGTGGCAGCAGCAGGAGGAGAGACAGGAGGCGCAGCAAGAAGGGAACATTGAGGCCGCCGCCGTCGCGGCCCTTGCTGCTGCTGCTGCTGCTGTAACTGCTGCTGCTGCTGCTGCTGCTCTTCCTGCTGCTGTGCTTCACGCAGAGCCCCTACAAGGGGCTGCGCTTGCCTCCAGGCATGCGTCCCCTAAAATATTCGTCGGCAGGGGCAGGTAGCGCTGCGTTGCTGGATCTGCTATGTTGCTGCTGCAGCAGCAACAGCAGCAGCAATAGCAGTAACTGCCGCTGCTGTGTCCTACACGCACTCCTCCCTACTCCTTTTCGCCCAGGGCTAGCGTTTGTCCCTGCGAGCCGCCCTAACTGCTCGTGGAGAGCGACAGCTGCAGCAGCAGCGGCAGCAGCTGCAGCAGCTGCTGCAGCGGCACCACCTCAGGGCGACTGCACGGGACGCCTGCTGCAGGAGAACCAGAGGCCCTTAAGGATCAACGGGGCCTCCCAGCCTCTCAGCTGGCTTTGTCTCAGTGAAATTTCTGCAGTCAAAGCCCATGGTGGCGAAGCTGCTGCGGCGCGACTGAGACAGCAGGTGTCTGTACACTTCGGAAAGGGCACAGGCTGCAACAGAGACAGCAGCAATCAAAAAGAAGCACGAACTGTCCCTTTCCAGCCCCGTTAAGCCCGCACACCGCGCATGCAATGGTGAGCAGCAGCAGCAGCAGCAGCGGCGGCAGCGACCATGAGCAGCGACCATCAGCTGCTGCTACAGCAGCCGCTGCTGCTCACAGATACTGGGCAAGCAGCTTATGTTAGCAGTTTTGCAATGATTGTCTCTACTCCTATGTTAAACGAGTGGAGCGCTTGCTGTGAGTAAACACGCGCACACATTGGCTACTATTCACCAGTTGCAGCAACAGCAGCGGCAGCAGCAGCAGCAGCAGCAGCGGCAGCAGAGAAGGTTATGCTGAGAGTTGCACTGATGCATGTGCTTCTCGAGTGCTGTTGCTGCTGTTTCCTGGAGTAAATCGAAATTTTTCGTTTACTGCGACTACGAACGCCTCGTAGTTGTTGCTCAGGTGTGCATACACCTGGAGCAGCACCAGCAGCACCAGCATTGAATTGCACGCCACCGCAGCCGTCTGTCTTCCTTTTTTTTCTGTATTTCCTGTGTGTTCGGATCATATTTGCGTTCCAAAGTAGTAAATCTGCTTTGTTCCCTCCTGTTAGTTTCTCATGGCCGTCTGCTGGCACTCCCAGAGCTGCACGTAAACCACAGCAGCTCAACTGCGCCGCCGCTGGAGTATCGGGCTGCCTGCGTGTCGCCGACGGGTCTTGTTGTCTCTGAGGGTTTCCCCCTCGAATTTACATTTAAAAATTGCTGCGTCGCAGCACCTGGAGCGGTTCATTTCTGCTGCTGCTGCTACCGTCGCCGCTGCTGCCATTGCTGCTGGCTCGCTGCCACTGAAGCCGCTGGTGCTGCTGCCGTAGCTGGGGAGCCAACAGACCAAAATGAAGGCAGAGGCTGAAGCGAACACAACTTCAGCCATGGAGCTGTCCCGCGAGGGCCTCCTGGGGGCCCCCCAGGGGGCCCCAGATGCAGAACTTCCCTCTACGGGGCCCCACGTGGGGCCCCCTCCTCCCATGGAAGGCAAGGCCTGGAGCAGCCCCGCTGGGGTGGCTCCAGTAACTCTGATAGCAAAGAACTTCTGCTACGCAATTCGGACTCGGCGGGACCTTTCGGGTTCGCTGCGCAGCCTGTGCTGCAGCAGCCTGTGCTGCAGCAGCAGCAGCAGCAAGTCGGCGCCGCTGCAGCTCGAGGAGGGGGAGCTTTCCGGGCCCCACGGGGGGCTCTCCACGGCCCAGAGCAGCGGCAGGCAGTGCAGCAGCAACAGCAGCAGCAGCAGCAGCAGCAACACGGGCCTCAACGTCATTCTTAAGGATATTAACCTCTGCGTCCGCCCAGGCTCTATGCTGGTTATTATGGGCCCCAGTGGCTCCGGCAAAACCACTCTGCTGAATGCCCTGGCAGGTGCGGCTGGGGTGGCTTTAGGGTTTAGCCCTAGGGTTTAGCTAAACCCTAAACCCTAGGGCGGCTGCAGCGGCACCAGGGGCCGCTGCTGCCTGTGCTGCAGCAAATGCAGCTAACTGCTGCTGCTGTCTCTGAGGCTGCTGCTGCTTCGAACGCTGCTGCTATTCCGGATGCTACTGCAGCTTCGCCAATGCTCTTGCTGGTGCTGCTGCTGGTGCTGCTTCGAATGTTGTTGTTGCTGCTGCTGCTGCTGCTGCTGCTGCAGGCCGCTCTAAAGCTTCTTCTCGAGTGTTAATATCCGGAACTTTGGTCTACCGGGGGGCCCCTGCGGGTTCTCCTTTGTCCTCTTTTTCGACCTATATAATGCAGGTGACCTGTCACTTTTAATTAGATTATATTTAAAATTTTTTTGTGTTTATTTCTCCAAAGTGTTTCATTTCGAACTTCCTCGACACAGATATCTCTGTCTTGGGGACTTGTGGGACGGCCTGCAGCAGCTGCTGCTTCTTGTTTTGTCTCTGTCTCTTTCATATTTGCTGCTTGCTTTTATATTCTTATCTCTGCTGCCGCTTTTGCCGTTTGCTGCATCTGCCCCTGCTCGTTTGCTGCTGCTGCTTCCCCGGTGTCTCCCTTTTCTCTATTTTTGCTGCTGCCCTGTATGTCTCCAGTGCACTTCACTGCTGCTGCTGCTGCACTTGCTGCTGCTCCATTTTCTGCTGCGTTTGCTGCTGGTTGTGCTGCTGCGGTGCTTTTTTACGGGCTAGTTTGCTGCTATTTGTCTTTGAGTCTGCGGGCGTTTTGTTGCTGCATGCTTCTCCCTCTGCTGGGAGTTCAGTTCCCCTTCTATTATTTTTTAAGTCTTTTAATCTTTTTTGTTTTTTCCCCAATGTGCGCTTCCGGGTGTATGTACAGAAAGACATTCTACCCTCCTATGTCACCGTTTGGGAATATCTTTCTTATTTCGCCGCTTTGAAGCTGCCGGGCGTTTCTAGAAACGTGGGGAGTCTTTGTTTGCTGCTTGCTGCTGCTGCTACGTGTTTGCTGCTGCTGCTGCTTGCTGCTGCCTTGTTGCTTCTGTGGGCTCTTGAGCAGTACAGAGCCGGCGGTTTGCAAGCAGCGCTTTTGTCTGGCTGACAAACAAGGGAATTTAGCTTTTTGTCTCCTCCTTGTTGAAAACAAATTCCAAATTCAGTGTTAAAAGCACAAATAGTAATTAAATACCTTTTATGAGAGGCCCTAGGGCTCAGAGCTGTCTGCTGCTGCTGCTTGTCTTCGTTTCCACCTGCTGCTGCCTTTCTCCGCCCCTTCGCCCAGCGCGGCTCTCTGCTTTCTTTAGTGCTTGATATCGGTTGTTATTTGTGCAGCTGTCTAAAAACGGCAAAGTAATATGTAAACTTCCTTAATTTGCATTTATAAAAATGCTGCATTTGCAGAAATGCCGCCTTTCCTGCTGCTGCTGCTGCTGCTGCTGCTGCTGCAGGCAAGGGAACAGCGCATGAAAGAAGTGCTGCAGTCCATGAATTTGTACCACTGTCGAGACACCCGAATTGGCGGCTCCGAGCGCAAGGGCCTCAGCGGCGGCGAAATGAAAAGGGTTGCTTTGGCGGTGGAGCTGCTGAATAATCCTTCTCTTATTTTCTTGGGTAAATCAAATATAATGCAATTCCAGTAAATAATCATCAGACCATTTCCTCGACTTCTAAACAGCCTCGGCTGCAGCGGCTTCTGGGCGCGTCAGCAGCTTCTGTTCGGTTCAAATCCTAAGCCTGCAGCAGCAAAAGCCGCTGCTGCTGCTGCTACCGCTGCTGCTGCTTCTGCTGCTGCTGCTGCATGCAGATGAGCCAACGTCAGGGCTAGATGCTGCGCTGGCGTTCGACACGATCCGGCTGCTGCTGCGCCTGGCGCGGACGGGGGGCCGCACAGTTGTCTGTACAGTGCACCAGCCTCGGTCTCAGGTGAGTTTCTCTGTTGTTTTTTTGTTTTTTTTTTCACCTTTTGGACTTTTACCCCTAAGAACGAACTAGCTTAACCTGAGCAGCAGCAACAGCACTTCTCTTGCGTTGTCCATCACCTTTATTTACTTTTCTTGCTTTTCCCCCGACGCGAAAGCCCCGCGCACTCCCTGCATCGCCCAGCTGCAGCAGCCGTCAGCAGCGCAGCAGCAGCCAGTGCAGCATCAGCCAGTGCAGCAGCCGCCAGTACATTAGCAGCCAGCGTAGCAGCAGCGCCCGCTCTCCGCCGTTTAGGCCGAAGTGCTGAAGCTGCAGCGCGGTGGTGCGTGTCTGTGCTGCAGCTGTTTGCCATGTTTGATGAGCTAATGCTGCTGCACCGGGGGCAAATAGTGTTTCAAGGGCCAGCGACGCAGTGCAGCAGCTACTTCGCGCGGCTGGGGCTGCGGTGCCCCCCGCGGTTTAACCCCGCAGACTTTTTGCTGGACCTGCTGACAGTGCGCAGCGAGCCGCAGGAGGAGCAGCAGCAGTCTACGGGGGGCCCTGTGGGGGAGCAGCTGCTGACGCTGCCCTCCTGCAGCAGCCAGCACCCGAAGCAGCAGCAAGAGCAGCAGCAGTACGCCGTGCAGCAGCAGCAGCAACAGCAGCAGCGGCGGGAAACGGAGATGGAGGAAGAGCTTGCAGACGGGGGCATCATGGGGCCCCTGGAACACAGGCCCCTGGGCAGGGAAGAAAGCGCTGCGCACATTCTTATGGAAGCAGCAGACGCAGAAGAGGCCCAGGGGCCACAGCTTTCGCACTTCGAGTCCCACATGGTTCGCGTCACAGTCACTCAAGAAGAAGTTGACCGCCTCCCCGCCTTCTACCAGGCGTCTCCTCTCTGTGCTGCTGTTGCTGCTCGCATTGACCAGGAGTTGCAGCATCCCAAAGACAAGCAGGCCTACAAGGGCCTGCAGCAGCGCCTCCAGGCCCACAGAGCCTTCTTGTAAGATAGGCCTAAACCCCTGCAGGGACCCCACTCTTCAGCCTGGCCCCCAGCGGCGGGATCAGGCCCTGTGGGGCTGAGGGCCCCTGCACAACTTCCGGTGGTTTTGTCCAGGGTCTTTCTTTATCAGTTTGCTCTCTTTTAACATTTTTCTGGGGTGTTATATATATTTGGCGGTCAAAGTGCATGTATGCATTCGTTGGGTGTATAGGTACATTGGCATTTAAAACGGCATTCGAAATATGCGTTATTTGCATACTATGAAATATAATGGAGATTTATGCTGTCATACGAGGGCCAAAATGCATGTGTGCATTTATTACATATATGTGTATATTGACGTATAAGCCGGTAAGCAAAATATATATTGCGTGCATACTACAAAATAAAAAATAAAGGTGTATATATGCATGTATACTATATATTCGTGAGGGTGCTGTCTTGCACAATATATATATATATATATATATATATATATATATGATATGTACATATACACATACTGTATAAAATGTATGTGGCTCGTACAATACAATATATAATATATAATATATATACTGTGGAATGTGATTCTGCGTAATATGCATCTGGGTGTGCTGGCTCGCTTTGTGCGACCTCAGGAGCCGCTGGGTAACGGAGTTTCTGGTGATCATGCGGATGACGGCGGTGAACTTCGTGCGAAATCCGCTGGTGACAATTGTGCAGCTGCTCCTGAACACTCTTCTCGGCTTCATTGTGGGTGAGGCAGCCCAGCAGCAACAAATGCCCACAAAGCCTGCAGAAGGCTGCAGCAGCAGCCGACCGCTGGAGCAAGCGGCCGCAGCAGCTTGCTGCAGCGGTCGTAGCAGCTTGCTGCAGCGGTCGTAGCAGCTTGCTGCAGCGGTCGTAGCAGCTTGCTGCAGCGGTCGTAACAGCTTGCTGCAGCGGTCGTGGCAGCTTGCTGCAGCGGTCGCAGCAGCTTGCCGCGACTGGTGCATCAGCTTACTGCAGCGAACGCAGCATCTTGCTGCAGCGAGCACGACAGCTTACTGCAGCGGGCACAGCAGCAAGTGCAGACGCAGCCTAGCGCCGCCGCAGGGCTGCAGTGTTAGCAGCAGCACTGAACCAGAAGAGTGTGCTAGCGTCTGTCTTCATTTGTAACAAGCCTTTTTGTTTCTTTCGGCTTTGTTTTTCCCAGGTGCTATATTCTGGAAGGTGCCCGAGAGCGGCCCCTTAGAAATAGCGGCGCGCAACATGCTGGGGTGTATATTCTTTCTGGCTACGCACATTGTCTTTGCCCCGCTTGACTGTCTGTCACTTTTTGCTGAAGACCGCGAGCTTTTCAACAGGTGGGGATGCTGTTGCGTGGCTGTGGGCTGCGCTGGCTAGCTAGCTAGCTAGCCAGCTAGCTAGCCTCTAGCTGGCTAGCTATCCAGCTAGCTAGCCAGCTAGTCTGCCCATATCTAAGCAGTCAGTGGCCAGGAACAGGCGGCGGTTGGATGGGCTGCAGAAGATGCTCTCTAAGCTGCATGCACTTATTGCGCTTCTGTATTTGTTTCTGCCGCTGCTGCTGCTATCTAGAGACACTGCAAATGGAACTTATACCCCCTTCGCGTACTTCATGGCCAAGTCGCTCGCGTCTATGCCTTTCCAGCATTTACCTCTCACGGCTGTTCTTGTTATATCATACTGGATGTCGGGTGAGTCTCGCGCCCGTTGCTCTGAGGTGTACGTACTCTCTCCGAGGTGCACGTACGCTGTCTGAGGTGTACGTAGGCCTCGCCCCACACGCCTCCCCACGGCCCCCGGGCTTGAGAGGTGCCACCTAGCTGCTAGCTAGCTGACAGCAGTTAAGCTAGTTGCTGTCTAGATGATAGTTAAGCTAGCTGCTAGCTAGCTGAGCTGCAGTGCCGCGGTATCCAGCAGTGGCTTTGCTGCACAGGCAGCAGGCGGCCAGCCAGGCTGCTCTCCCGTGTCAGTGCCATTACATGTCTTTTCTTGCGGCTGCAATCGAGAAGGTTAATTATGTCTAGAGTTGCCCATTTCTCCCTTTAGGCTGGATCTTTTTTGTGAGTGTGGTTTTTTATGGCTGCTGTGCACGGCGTTTGCTTTGTGTCTTTCAGGCATGTCAGCTGACTTCGTTCGTTTTGTGTTGTACTTGGTGATTGCCCAGTTGTCCATTTTCGCCTCGACTTCTTTCCTTTTCTTCGCGGCCTCCATTTGTGAGCTGCGGAATCCGTAGTTGTTGGGGTTGCAGTGTGCAGACACCTCAACTCACAACGCAGTGCTCAAGCAACAACTCCAGCAGCCTTCAGTAGTTGCCAGGCCTTGTGTTGGTGCTACTGTTGCTGGGCGCACGCACACAGCGACAGGTCAAAAGCCTCATTTTGCTGCTGTTGCTGATGCTGTTGCTACTGGATCTGCAGCCCCGAGGCTGTCGGTTGCGCAGAGTTTTTCTCCGGTGGTGCTCGTTGTGATTCTCCTTGTTTGCGGGTTCTACATCCGTGAGCAAGACATTCCAGTGAGTCCTTGACTGCCTGCTGCTGCCAGAAAAACAGCTGTAGCGGTAGCAGCATTTGCTGCATTTTTTGGCTGCAGTCACTGCAGGAGCAGCTACAGCAGCAAACTGAACGAAAGAGGGTGTTGAGCGGGGTTGCTTTGGCTTGTTTGTGTTGCATTTTTGTGGCTTTTTCTGGTGCTGCGCAGTCGTGGATCCGCTGGCTGAAGTACATTTCCTTCATTCACTACCCTTATCTGTGTTTCACGGCGAACGAGTTCAACAACAACCCTACCTGGGAAGGCCTGCCCCCGGATTTCCTGTCTGTGTCTGGGGGCCTCAGCGACACGCGGCTGGGGCCCAACTTGGCCATTTTGGCGACCATAGCATTTGTGCTGCGCGCGATGGCCTTCATAGGCTTGAAGTACTGCAACAGGCGAATAGGCTTAGAGTGCTAGCTGCAAGTAGTTAGAATAGCTCATATGTGGGCCACGCGGGCGCACCCGCGGGCACCCGCGGATGCGCACAACAGCTAAATAACCCATTTAATAAATACAATAAACTCTTTTCGCCCCGAAAATGGCTCCCCTCGCAACAGAGGGAGTCGCCTCTGCTTCGGTTGCTGGCCTGGGGCCCCCATCTGCCCAGCCGCAGCCAGAGCCAAAGAAGGGGCACTGGGGCCGCATAGTTAAGCACCAAGGCAGGCTAGAGGGCCTCTTACTCTCCCATTTCATATGGAGTTTTTATTTTCAACATTCATTGTGTTTTTGTTGTGCTGGGCAAGCCATGGCCCCTGGCTGCCCGCAACTAGCTGCTCAGCAGCCCTGGCTAGCCACAACGCAGCTTCAGCTAGCCGTGGCGGCATACGGGCATTAGATCTGGCTGGTTAAGTAACTGGCAATTGCTGAATTAAGCAGTAGGTGAGGCTTTGGCCTCCTAGATAAGTATTTAAACCAACTGGAATGGGGGGCTTTGCCATTGAAGTTAAGCAGTTAAAGTTAAGTAGTAACGGGAGCTTTGGTCCTAAGTTTAGTAGTTGAAGCTACGTAGTAACGGAGGCTTTGACCTTGAAGCAAAGTGGTTGAAGTTAAGTAGTAACTGGAGCCTTGGCCTTAAAGTTAGGTGGCTAGAATTAAGTAATAACAGGGGTTTTGGCCTGAAGCTATGCACTAAAGCGGTCTCTGGCCTTAAAACTGCAGAGATGCTTCAGCATTAAGAATTTAGTATTAGAGGTTTGGCCCTTTGGGCAAAGGATTAAAAGGGGCTTTGGGCTTTGGTTGCAAGATGGGAATTCAAAAGGGCTTCGGCCTCAAAATTAGAACTAAGAAGAGCTTCGGCCTTGTAAGTTAAGCATTGAGGTATTTGAGCACTAAGAGGGGCTTTGGCCTTTGATGCCAAGCATTATGAGAAACTTTGGCTTTAAAGGGCTTTTCCCTTCAAGACCTACACCCTAGTGGCCTCTCTATAAAGTTCAGCAGAGAGGCTTTGGCCTCCTTAGTTAAGCATTAAGAGTGGCTTTGGCCCATAGGCACTGTTTGCTGTGCATCCCTCGACAGGGTTTGTCTGGAAGAGCCAGTCAGTCACGGTGTCCTGGAGAAAGAGGCGAAAGCTGGGCTGTGGCCAGCCAATAACAGCCTTGGCTGCTGCGGGGTCTTCCTTGCTGCTTTCCTCTTGCAAGGATTTCTCCCATGAGCCTCAGGGCTCCTCTAAGGTCTAAAAGTGTAAAAGCGGCGGCCTTAAGGGGAAGGCCTGAGGTGCTGGGCAATTCGCAGCCAGCAGCCACGGCTGGCAAAGACCTGCCATAGAAGGAGCACGTCTTCGGCGTAGTAATGAAGACCCGGAGGTCGCAAGGCAAGACTTAAGGTTCTCTGTTTTTAGAAGCTGTTAGCTTTGTGTGTCCCCAGCGACAGCCATTGACACTTCTTATTGTTTGCAGCCAAAGTCTGCTGCTCGCAGGTCGCGCTGTGGCTGCTGTGCCTTCGTCAGCAGCTACTGCTGCCAGCAATTGCTCTGGCACTGGGGGGAAGCTCTGCAGCGGCAGTGCAACCCCCCAGCCTCTCCCGCTGTTTCTCCCTAGAGCCCAACTAGCTGAGTTAAGTCTATTTGAAGGCAGTTTCCCCTTCGTTGGCCCGTCAGTGCAGGCCAGGAGGCCCTAGGCACTGCCTTGGTGGCTCTTGCTGGGGCCCCAGCCCAGCAGGCTGGAGGCAGCGGGCAATAGATAATAGTCGCAGGAAGCTCAGTGGCCGCTTTGGGGGCCCTTAAGGCCTAATAGAGCGTGCTGTGGGGTCCCCGGAAGCCCTGGGGCCGTCGCCAAGCAATGCAACAAATGTGGTCCGGTCCAAACAGACCGTTGGCTGCCTCCCACTCCCTCTCCCGCCGCGCCCCTGTAACTAAACTTCAATGTGCATGTTCTATATATGTAACTGTTGCAAATAAAGGCTTTTGGATGAGGGATATTGCGGGTAGCTCGTGCGGGGCTCTAGGGGCCCCGGGCGGTCTCGGGCCCTCGGTGGTTGGGCTGCGCGAGGCTGCCGGCGTCGAGTTTGTTGGGTGGGTGTTGTTGCTGCTGTCTTTCATTAACTTGTGTCCTTTTCCACAGCTTTATATTTAATTCAAGCTTTTATTTTAGCAATTTTTCTCTCCTGAGAGCCGAGAGTTACCCTCGGTTCCTTCTGCTCACGCAACCTGGCCACAGCCGTCGAGCGCTGTCCCCGCCTGAGCTTTAATCACACTGAAATGAAGCCTACGAAGTCCAAAAAGAGCTAGGGGGGTCCTTCTGTAGCTCAGAGGGCCCCCAACTGTCAACATTTGCCCCAAGAAATGGCGGAAAGGGGGGAGGCGGACGCAGGCCAGGGCCCATGGGGAACCGGAACCACGGTCGCAGGGCCTGGGGGCTCCCCCAGGGCTTTCGGGGGCCATAAAGTTCCCTATATACCCGATGACTCCACAAAAGAGCCATCGACTTCGCTCAGGATGGGCTTCATGCAGAATCAGCCCCAAGGGAGCCCCTACGGGCTCCGGAGCCTCAAAACGGGGCCACCGGGAACAAGTAGTGGGCGAAGACAGTCTATTCTGTCGGACTCTGTGGGGGAAGAGGGCGACTATTGGTGCCGGGGGACCCCTAGGGGTCCCCGGGAAGCCGGGGTCACCTTGGGGCCCCTTGGGCTTGAAGACCCAACGCCGTCGGCTTCTGAAAGTGGGGATGAAGTGGGAGAAGAAGAAGGGGGCCCCGTTGCTGCAGCCTACAGAGTGGCGGCCAAGCTGCGGCGGCTGTCCCTGCGGGCGCGGAGGCTGGCCCAGGAGGAGCTGGGGTCCCCCCGGAGGCTCTCTGGGTCCTCTCCCCGCAGTCCTGCTGCAGCTGAATCCCGCAGCAGCTCAGCGCTGCCACACACAGAGACTTGGAGGGCTTTAGAGGCTCTGTCTCAGGCTCTAGAAGACCTCACGGAAGATGCTGCGCTTGCTGCGACTCACGTGAGGCGCTGCTCACGCGAGGCCCTAAACCCTAGGGCCGAAAACCCTAAACCCTAAGGCTGAAGGCCCTTGTGCTGATGCGCCTAATCCTCCCCTTGCACCTTTTTTGGCCAAGGAAAGAAAAAGTGAAGGGGGAAAAGTGTTCCTGCTCCTGTTGCTGTGCAGTCCGACAGATGGAAGTCAGCCGCCTCGAGGCAAAAGCGGCAGCTTAACTCCGCGTTAGAGGAAAATGAGCGATTGGTAAGCTTGTTTGGCAGCAGCAATAGCCCCCGCTGATGCCACGAGATGCGCAGCGCAAGCAGCAACGTTGCAGCACGAGCTGCAGCAGTTGCCGCAGCAGCGGTTGCATCAGCAGCGTGCGACAAGAACCGGGAGCAGCAGCAGGGGCCGCACTACCTGCAGCAGCAGCGGCAACCAGAAATGTGCTGAAGTCACTTTCGTTAGCTAGGCTCGTAGCATCGATTCTGTTGTTGGGGCTGCTCCATCTTGCACGTTGTTATTTTCCGTGGCTGTAGGTGTCTTTGTTGCTGCTGCTGCTGCATGCAGCTTGCCGACAATCAAACTCTCTCAGAAGAGCTAAAGACAGCGCAGCAAAGGTGTCTGAATAGCGAAGCAGAGCTACAGCAGCTCTCTAAGTACAAGGTCAGCTACCCGAGCCAATCACTTTTCAGGCCTCCACCTTTTTGCTTTGTTCCCCTTGTACTGGCCAACAGGCCTTGTACTGGCCAACAGGCAAAGAGAAAATAACCAAATAAGAGCTCACAGAGTCTTGATGCAACTCAGGAGTCTTGGCTGTAAACGCAAAGTATTCACTTTTTGCGTTTAGGGCTTTTGCTCTAGAGTGGGGCGCAGGGATTTGGCCTTTGGACTCGGGTGGGTGTTTTCAGAACTACCAAGCCAAGTTCTTTGCGTGCCAGAGCCAAGTGGCTCAGCTGCAGTTTGAAATGGAAACGCTGCGGCGAGGCTTCGAAGCCCTCGAGGCAGCGCATGCAACGCAAGAAGAGGAACTTAAGAAAACGACGGAGGCCGCAGCCCTTCTGCGGCAAAAACTGCGAGCTGCATGCGAAGAGGTCAGAGCATAGGGCTAGGAATAGGGGCACTAAGAGAGGCAGGGACAGAGGCACTCGGTGAAGGCAGTGGCAGCAAGACACGCGCGTAGAACCCCGAACTATAGCAGCATGTATTCAGAACAAGGGGCCTTGCGGAAGAGGCTGTGGACCTTCGGAGCCTTGCATGCACCATTAAGCAAGTCATCTGCTGCGCTGTGCCTCCTGCAGCTCGCGCAAACCAAGGAGGCTCTGTCTAGGCAGCGGGTCTCTTCCCAGCGTGTGGTGAGCTCTTGCATGCGAAAGCAACAGAGAAGCATTTGCGCGTTTCCGTTTTAGCTTTCGTCGCATCCTAGCATTACACAAAGTGCTTTGCTATCATTATGCTGTTATATTTCTTTGCTGCTGCTGCTGCTGTTGTTTCTGCTGCTTTCGCTGCAGCAGTCAGACGCGTGCAGCTCCGTAGGGAACCCCCCTCCCCTGAATCGGCCTGCAACCCCTCACCGAGGGCTGGGGTCTATACCCAGGAGCCCCGAGTCCACTTTGCGGTGGGGGATCTCTCGGGGATATCCGCCATCGAGTGAAGGAAGTCACCCAAGAGGCTGTGATGGCCTCCGCGTCTTCAGGGGGCAAACGTGGTGTGCAACCGGGGGGCTGAGGGGGCCTTCTCTCAGGCAGACCCTGAGAGCCTCCTTATCGCAAGACCAACAGCAGAAGCGGCAGCAGCAGCAGCAGCAGCAACAGCAGCAGCAGCTGCTGTCGCGACTCTCCTCAGACCTCACCCCACAAGCCCCATCAGGCCCCGGGGAGTGGCACTTGATGCGCTTTATCCAGTCAGAGGGCGCCCGCAGCGCTGGGGCGTCGGCGTCGGGTAGGCCAGCAGCAGTAGAAGCCCCTGCTACTGCTGCTGCCAGGCCAGAGGCGAAGGCGCCCAGTACAGGGAGGTCTCTCTATGAGGAGCTGGCGGCGAGTGCTGCAGCGGCCCCTGCGCGGCCTCAGGCCAAAGCCCCACGCAAAGACACAGAGGAGGAAACACTGGCAACAGATGCGCTTCAGCAGTTGCTAAGCATCCTGGCCAAGTCCTCTATCTCGCTTGACGAGCTCAGGGCTCACGGCGTCAGCTCAGCAAGCCTGCTGCAGGTCTCGCGGCTGCGAAAGAACCTGGAGACGCAGCAAAAGGATAAAACACCAAGCAGCAGCCTGCAGCCCGCAGAAGCAACTCAAAGAGAGTCTGTGGGGCCACATCTGGGGCCCCTTACTGCAGCTTCCTGGAGCAACTGGCTCCCCCCTGTGTCGTCGTGGCTTAGAGAGAACTTGAGCTTTCTTCTGCGACCCTTGTCCGGCTGCCTAGGCAGTGAAAGAGTTCCTGCTGCCCGCGAGGACGAGGCCCCTCATAAGATTATGCCTCTCAGCTGCAGCTGCGTACGGCTGGGGGCCCCAATGGAGTGCACCTGCGTTGTGCTGATAATAGTGGCTGCTGCCGCCTCTGCTCTTTGGCTTCGCCTGGGTGACTGGAGTGTAGAATGAAGCAGCCATTGTGGCTGCTACCTGTACACACTGCAGTAACTAGAAAGCGAGGCTGCTGGCTTTAATTATTTCTGTCTTTCCCCAAGCAGCGCCCTCCCCTGCCCCACAGGTAGCCGAGCTGGACCCCACAGCTAGCCGAGCTGGAGTGCCTAGGCAGTGGGGCCCTTAAAGAGCGCTGGACCCTCACACGTGCCCTTTCGGTCTTCGCTGTGAAGGGGTGAGTGGCCGCTTGCTGCGCAGCAGAGTGTTCGCTGGCGAAAGCACCCGAAGCTCTGAGCCACTGGAAAGAAAACGCTTGTTTGCCTAGATACTAATAAAACAAAACACTGTCTCATTTGTGCTTTCCTGCTCTCTGCGCGTTTCCACTGTCCCGCCTCTCTACTTTATTCTTTCTCGCTGCTGTCAGCTTCTTTACTCGCTGCATCTACGGGTGCATGCGTACACGTGGGCACTCTTCATTCTATCGCTTCAATGCGTGCGAATAAAGTAATACCTAAATGTACTCATGCAGAGGTGCATATAAAGAAAACATAAGTGCAGCCAGGCTCCAGCCCCCATAGCTGGCGCTCCGGGTCTCGGGCGCACAGATGAGATAACCTGCAAAACAACTTGAAGCTCAAGCGGCTACGGCTGCTTTCAATGAGCCTTCTAGTTCCTGCTGTGCCTCTGTTCGCTTTGCTGCGCGAACAGCGCATTGCGCGGCTGCGGCGTGCTGCCGTCTGCAGCAGATGCAGCAGCAGCTGCACTTGACGCAGCAGCACCTGCAGCTCCTGCTGGCACGGCTGCTGCTGTATTAGAAGGGGGGACGGCGGGAACACCCCCAGACATAGGAGCAGGAACTGGTGGCTTCTTAATCTTGTTGCGTGAGCCCGAGCTCCTGCTGCTGCTGCTGCTGCTGCCGCTGCTGCTGCTGCTGCCGCTGCTGCTGCTGCTGCTGTGACCCTCCGCAGCGTCCACAGTACGCTGTCGCTTCCTATCCTCGTCTCCCTCTGCACTATCTCCTTCTCTCTTGTTGGGCCAGCTGCTGAAGGCAGAGCCCCCCGAAGTCCCTTCAGCTCCTCCCTGCAAAGCAACACTCACGCAAGCCGCAGCGAGCTACTGTGGGGCCCCACACCGGTAGGAGGTAAGGCCGCAGCAAGCACGGCCCTTAGGAGCAGCAGCAGCAGCAGCTGCTGCTGCTGCTGCTGCACCAAGGATCTCTGCAGCAAGTTCGGCCCGATGCGGTACACGCACGTACATGGGACCGGGCCGAGGATCCTGGACCGAAGGCGTCAGTGCCGCTGATGCTGTTGCTGCTGTTGCTGCTGTTGCTGCTGTTCTTGGCAGCAGTAGGTGCAGCAGAATGAGGGCCCTGGTGAGTAGAGCCAGAGGGCATCGTGGCAACAGGAGCAGCAGCAGAAACACCTGATTTGCTGCTGACCCCACGAGGAGCCACAATGGGCGGGGGTGCTTTGGGCGCCACTCTAGGCTTCGTCACACCGCTGCTGCTGCTACTGTTGCGGGAGCTGGACGAACTATGAGTGCGCGTACGATTGCTATCCCTGCTGCTGCTGTTGCTGCTGCTGCTATTGCTGCTGTTGCTGCTTGAAGAAGAGGGCCTTGGGTCTCCAGAAGAGCTGCTGCTGTTGTTGCTGCTGCGCATGCTCCCGCTGTGGTTGCTCCTCGCGGTGTTGCTTCTGCTGCTGGATGCAGTGCTCTCCCCTTCACGATTGCTGCTGCTGCTACTGCTGCCTCTATGCTGCTGCTGTCTGCTGCTGCTACCCCCATCTCTGACGCTACTGCTGGGGGCGCCACTTCGGTTCCTGGACCCGTGCCCGCCATCACCAGCATGCGTTCTTCCGCTGCTGTTGCTGCTGCTGCTGCTTGGCCCCGCCGTGCCGGTGGCTGCAGACCCTGAAGAAGCAGCCGCTTTGCTGCTGTTTCGGCTGCTGCTGTCCTGCTGACGCCCGCTAGCGGAGTCACTGCTTTTAGAAGTGCTTCCGCCGTCACGATGGCTACGTGCTGATTGAGCTTCTGTCTTGCTGCTGCTGCTGCTGCTGCTGCTGTTATTTGCAGATGCGTAGCTGCCGAATGGGACCCCACGTCCTCCAGACGCAGTAGAGTCGGCATTACGAAGGGGCCTCGGAGATGCTCCACTGTTGCTTGGGGGTTTGCTGCTGCTACTCTGCCGGTTGCTGCTGCTGCTGTTGCTAGGCTGTCCTGCTGACTCCTGCATCGTCGAGCCTACAACTGTGCTGCCGCTGCGGCTGCCCTTAGTGCTGCCGCTGCTGGGCAAAGGAGGAGAAGCTCCAGCAAGCCCTGCCATCCTCGCCTTCATCAAAGAAACAGCCTCAGGGCCAAGAGGGCTCCTTCGCACGGGGGCTGCAGCAGGAGGAACAGCAGGAGCGGCGGCTGGGGGCTGAAGAGCAGCAGGTGCTGCAGGAGGTGCTGGTGCAGCAGGTGCGGCCGCTGCAGCTGGTGCTGCTGCAGCAGGTGCTGATACAGCAGGTGCGGCTCCAGCAGAGGTGGCAGCAGCAGCAGGGGTGGCAGCAGCAGCAGGGCGAGCTGGGTTTTTCGTGCTGCTGTTACTCGTAGAGCTGTCTGATGCCGCAGGCGCTGCTTGTACTGGTGGGTTTGCAGTGCTGGCTCCTGGTGGTGCTGCTGCTGCTTCTGTCTTGGCCTGCAAAAACATCAGCCAACACTTGGCAGCTGGGGTTTGTATTAGCCCTTTAAGGCTGCCTGCCTGCCTGTGGAATCAGTCAACAATTACTTCTTCCCCCTCTTATTTACTTACCCCTTCGCCCACGCCTATACCGCAATGCGCGCTCCACGCTTAAATGAGAAGAACTACATATTATATATATGTGCATATGTATGTATATTTAGATATACTGGTATACGTATATATAGATATACATATATACGTATATATAGAAATAGATATATGTATCTAATATATATGCATAGATACATTTAGAGATACATAGATATACATATGGATATAGATATATGAATATAGGTATATCTAATATATATATATACATAGACATAGATACAAACGGATACGCATCTAGCACAAAATCAGCAGTTAAGCAAGCACGCTTGGCTTCCTTGTCTGCTCCTTCTGCTAACCCGTTTGGCCTGGGGCTCTCCAGCCAGCCCAGTTAAGGCATTTTTTGCTCTTGACGCTGTCGCGCTGAAAGGCGACGCTGCAGCAGTATGGCCCTGCTGAAGCTTGGGGGTTTCTGTGGCTCTGCTGTTGTCGCCTGGCTGCTGGAGCGCCGCAGCTTTATCCTTCCCCGCAGGTGTCGTTTGCTGCTGCGACAGCGCGTTGCTTTTCGGCTTCTCTTCTGCTGCTGCACCAGACCCTGCTGCAGCCGCTGCTGCTGCTGCTGCTGCTGCAGGGACAGGGTCTAGCCACCGCCCTTCCCGCTGGTGCTTCGCCAGCACCTTCATTATGCTGCCAGCCGAGAGTGAAACGTCCTTCCAGTTCCACGCCTGCTCGCATCGCGCGCAAACGGCAGAGGGAAAGGGCCTGACTGCTCTGCAGCAAAAGCTTGGCAGCTGCAGCTAGCTGGCTAGCTAGCTACCCAGCTAGCTGCACAGACGAACCGCCAGGCAGCGGCCCGTCTAGCTAGCTAGCCAGCTAGCCAGTCGTCTAGCAACTCTGTAGTCACCGAGCCTCCAAGGCGCCGCCGCTACAGCTTCCTCCGCAGGACCTTTTATTGCAACATAATGTACTCAGTGGCAGAACCAGAAGCAGCAGCAGCAAACGCAAAAGGCACGGACTTGTGCTGCAGTCAGAGCTTCTTCTAGGCGGCGCATGAGCTCCACCCCACGCCTGTAAGTTAGCGGAAAGCTGTAGTGACACCGCGACAAAAAGACCACCGCGGCCTTCGTCTCCAGCCAGCCCGAGTCGTTGGGAGATGAAGCAGCAGCTGCTGCCAGAGGCAAACCTGCGCAGCCTCGCCCGACGCAGCAGCGCCTCACATGAGAAATTTCGCAGCTTTTCACTTTTTACTTGCAGCTAGCTGGCACTAAATGGAGCTGCAACGGCTCGCCCAGGCCACTGGCTTCGAGGCAGCCAAAGGCCAAAAAGAAGAAGCCCCTATTAGCCGCCCACCGCCGAGACAGGCCCACACAGCAGCACAGAGAGAGAAGTCCGCAGCAGCAGCAGAGCCACTGGCGAGATCAAACGTGCAGCATTTAGAAGAAATGGCAGAGATGGCGAGTACACTAGTGCAGGCTTTGGGGCACTCGAACGTTTCCGCGGGAATGATGCAAAAAGATCTAAAAAGCAACAGCAACGCGAGGCACTGCTGCAGCGCAGCAGCGCAGCTGCAGCCCCAGCTGGCCCAGAGTGCTGCTCCTACTCTGCACCAGACCGTCCAGTATTCGGGCCTCCCACTTCCTGGCCCCCTTCACGAGGTGGCAGTGCTTGGCCTTGTTGTCTGCGAATCTGTAGGTCAGCGCGAAGCAGCAGTTGCCCTCAGTCTCCTTCTCAAATGCCTCTTTGTCTTGTAGCCAACGACGCAAGGGGGACAGAATCTCCGCAACAAACAGGCCCAGCATCTGCGCCTCCCGCTCAGTACTGCTCCTGCAGAAAGGCAAAAAGCCACACCAGACTAACGCAGCCACCGATGGGGCCCCCGCAGCCGCCAGTGGGGCCCCCCGCAGCAGCCAGTGGGGGCCCCGCAGCCTCCAGTGGGGCTCCCTTGCTGTGGTGCTGGGCGCTAGGCGGGCCCCACAGGAAGCTGAACAGCTACTCAGGCCAGCGCCCTAGCCGCACCTTTGCTGCTGGGGCGGCAACAGCGGCAGCGGTGCGCTGCTGCTGCTGCTGCTGCTGCTGCTGCTGCTATGGCGCTGCTACTACGTCTGCAAAGTTACCTGATGAGAGGCACAAGCATGCGTGTCCAAATGTTCATGAAATCGAGAAAGTTGAAGAGAGGAAGGCGGAGGCTGACGAGCAGCCAAACAAAGTGAGCGCAGAAGAGCGCATCAGCTTCAGAGTTAATGACGCGAGGAGCCAACATGTACTTGATAATCGCACGGATTGCGAAGGGTCCCCTTTTGGAGCCGCCTGCTGCTCCTGCAGCTGTTGGTGTTGCTGCTTGGGGTGCTGCTGCTCCTGCTGCAGCAGCAACGCCGGTTTTGGGCGCAGCAACACCCTCGCTGCCGCCGCCTGAGAGCCGCTTGGGGGTATCTCGAGGCAGCACCAAGCTGTCTTCGGTGGTGCTGCTGCGGCGGCTCATGGTGAGCACTGAAGAGGCCCCGTCGGAGTCACAGCTCTCTGCATGCAGCAGCACCTGCTGCGCTTGCTGCTGCTGCTGCTGCTTGGCTGGCAGCAGCCACGTGCGACTTTCGTCCTGCAGAGCCGCGCGCACGGCCGCCTGCCTTGCCTTGTGGCTGTTGAACTCTTGCTCAAGAGCCCTGCGGTGTTGTTTGAGTCTTATCCGTTTCTTCTTGAGGGCCTCTTCTTCCTTCCTGCTGTAGTCCACTGCCCCTGCGGCTACCATCGCTGCAGTCGGCTCCCGGCTGCTGCTGCTGCTGTTGCCGCTGCTGGCCATGTTCCGACGGTAACGTTCTATCTCTTCAATTGCTTTCTGCGTCTGTACCTCGCCAGCAAACAAACCCTAGACCCAAAGCCCTTACACACCAGCTCTCCCCATACCTGCATGCTCCCCTAGCTATTTGCGACATGCTGCTGGCAGGCGCAATAGCTGTGGTTGGCTTCGGGGCCCCGGACACCGAGTTAGCATTCGTGGTGTCGGCCTTCTCTCCTGCGGCCGAGCAACTAGGGTTTAGGGTTTAGGGTTTAGGGTTTAGGGTTTACGTCGTTTAAAGCGTTCTGCAGCTTGCTGATGGAGGCCTCGTACTGCTCCGTGGGCACCAGAATGTCCTCTAGAGACAGCCGCCAGAACAGCAGCACGAATTTCACCGACAGGCCATCCAACTTCTGGGGGTCGATCCCAGAAGGCTTCAGCAGCGGCAGCATGCACTCTCCCCAGTTCTCTGCATACCCGCACAAGCACCTCCCCCACAGCTGCTGCCACTGCTGCAGTTGCTGCTGCTGCTGCTGCTGCCGCTTGTGGCGGCATTCGTGCTGCCGGTGTTGCTGGAAGCCGACGGAAAAACAAACCTGTGAAGGAAGGTTCTAGAGAGCTTGCTGCAGAGGCGCTGCAGCCAGCTGCTGGGCTTTGAGCCTCATCTTCAGCAGCAGCTGCCGCAGGCGCAGCAGGCGTTGCTGCCGCTGCTTCTTTCGCTGGGGGAGTGTTGCACGCAGGGGAGCCCGCGCGGGTCTGCGGCGACGATTCATCTTGTGGCAGCGGCGTCTTCTTGCTGCTGCTGGTACTGCTGCAGGCAGCGCCGCTGCTGCTGCTACCGGGGTCTGGCTTGGCCCTGAGAAAGTCAGGGAGCGCAGGCCTGAGGAAGCTCCAGGCCATCGCCGGGCACAGAAAAGCAAACAGAGTCTTGGGGGGCGGCAGCACAGCCTGGTAAGCCTCTCTGGGAAAGGAGCGGCGGAGGTACTCGAGCAGCTGCAAGTGGTACTTGTGGAGATCGTCTACAGTGGCAGCAAACACCATCATGGACTGCCTGAACTCCGAGTCGTAGAGCACCTCAGCTCGAACCTTCGCAGGAATCAGCAGCAGCGGCAGCAGCAGCCGCGGGTCCCCCAGGGCCTCGCACAGCAGCTGCTGCGCCCGCAGATCCACCGCCAAGTCCTCCTCTCCGCTCGCCAGCATCACCTCCGCCTTCAGCAGGGGGCCCCCTGCCTGCGGTGCAGCAGCAGCCAGCAGCAGCAAGCAGGCAGCAACAATGCAGCAGGCATGCAGGAAGCATGCAGCACGCAGGCAGCAGCAATGCATCAGGCATGCAGCGAGCATGCACAAAGCATGCAGCAAGCAACTTTCGTGCACAGCTACCCCAGGCCCCGAGGCCCCCAGAGTATTTCTCTTCTTGTTTATATCCAAGTGCCCTGCTAGACCCCGCTGGGATCTGCTGTCTCAGCCTCCACACGGGCCCGCCTGTTGCGGCTGCCTCGCTGCTGAAGCTGCTGCAGCAGGCCCTTCGCTGCTGCTGCAGGGCCGCTGCAGGAGAAGTCTTAGAGTCAGTCTTTACCTGTGCATAGATCTGGTCTGCCGTTAGGGCCCCCGCCTCCGGGAGTCTGGGGCAGCCGCCGACGAGCTCCAGAAGCCTTTCTACGTATTCCTTGTCTCTGATGAATCCCGCCAGGCGGTGTGGATAGTCTCTGTTTTTGCCAGCTATAACGACGGAGACAGAGGGGGGCCCCTGGGGACCGCCGCCAAGGGCCCCCTCCCCGTCCACCGCCATGGGGGCCCCCTCCTCAGCCAGCTCCTCCCGCCCGCTGCGAAAGTGCTTCACGTCTCGCACGTGCAATTCGCACCACATGCGCGTCACTGTGGAGACCAGCAGGGGTCGCAGGTCGGTGTCTTTGTGGCTGCGCAGCAACAGAGGCAGTTCGAACTCCAACTCGTTCAAAAACAGAAATGGCCCAGCCCGCCCAGCCGTGGCCAGACAGCCTCAGAATAGCCAACACGGAATGCTACAGCCAATTACCAGCAACAGAGAGACAAAAGGCCGCATCAATGCAGCCAGCAGCAGAGGCAGCAGCCACACAGACGCAGCAGCAAACCCCTGGAAGCAAGACGAGCTGGTGAAAGGAAGGCAGAAAACCAATGTGCAGCACAAAAGGCGTTTTGGGGGGCAGAAGGCAAACGAAGAGACCAGGAATGAAGACTAGAAGAAGCACCCCGAGGCGAGGCAAAAGCAGGGAGGCAAAATGAAGCACCAGGCAACCGGGCAGAGTGACAAACGCAGTACAGGCAGAGACCAAATACAATCCCCAAACGGCCACGCAGTTCGCTACATCCTGGCCCGCGGGGCCGGCGAGCTGCAGCAGCAGCAGTGCGCAGTAGCAGCAGCACACAGCAGCAAAGACACAATGGATTCAGGGGGAAGAAGGCAAAGAGACGGCAGAAAGCAGCTTTGAGGGGCTCTGCGCACATCCTGAAGAAGCGGCCAGCCATGGCCGCCCTGTTAAGCAGCTTCCGAGAAACCCCCAAACCCTCGCCCTCGCCGCCTCCGTCTCGGCGCCGCAGCTGCCGCTGGATGAAACGCGAGGCCAACACATCTGCTGCCACAGCTGAGACCCGGCGCGTGGCCTCCGTCAGGGTTTGCACCTGCGCCCGCCCACAGCAGCAGCAGCGCCCCGCAGCAGCACACAGCAGCAGCACACAGCAGCAGCACGCAGCAGCAGCACGCCGCTCCAGATTCCTGCTGCCCTGTCTCTCCCTAAAGCTGTCGGTGCTGCAATGCTCTACCGGAGCGACGAAAGCAGCAGCAAATAGCGCCAGCAGCAACGATAAACAAACAGCAAGCGTTATGCTGCAGCACGAAGGGACTAAGTATCGCGGAAATGCACAGGAGAACCAACACCAGCAACAACAGAATCAGCGGACGGTGGGGCAGCAGCAGAAAAGACACAGCACGTGCTGCAGTGGAGGCTGCTGAACTGGCTGCCCGCGCAGCGGCTACTGTTGTGGCGGCTCTTTCACCCGTTTGCTGCAGCCGCTGCTGCAGCAAGCAAAGCTGCTGCAGGGCCGTCTGACTGACCATGTTTTCGTCAAATAAGTCTCCCTGGGTAATGGCGATCTCAGCCAAGGGCAGAGGGGCACTGAGGGAAAGGGCCGCAATTTCTGCCAAAATGCTTTTGTCGCTGTCCTTTGCCTTAGTCGAAAATATCGTAGAAGTCAAACGCTTCAGCAGCTTGCGCAGCTTTAGCCGAGCCACTTCGTAGTTCAATGCCTGCAGCAGCAGCAGCAGCAGCAAAACAGAAGGGGCCATCGGCCCGAAGAAAGGCGCCTCTGCGGCGAGCTGAAACAGCTATTCCCAGCCCTTCTCGAACGCAGCAAAACGCGCAGCTGTAGCCACGCAGCTCCAGCGTATTCTCCCTATTATTTGAGGCTAAATTTGCCATTCCTGCTTCCGCTGCTTCTGCTGGTGCTCCTATGAGTCCTACTACTAGAAGAGCGCTGCTATCAGCAGCTGCAGCAGCACTACACTCGCAGTTATGCGGAAGCAGCAACTCGGCAGCAGCCGCGGCAGCACCCGCAGCAACAGCAGCGTCAGCAGCTAACGCGTCGCTGATTTCGTACCAAGGGGCACTGCTCGCTTTCCCACAGCTGCATGACTCTGTCGTATATTTGGTAGCGCCTGTGGGGCGGCAACTCCTTAAGGGCTGACCACAGCAGCGCGTTGATAGTGGGGGCCCCATGAAGCACTTGCGAAACAGCCGGAAATATCGTCTCCGCCATAAAGACGGCCTGTGCATGCACAGCGTCGAGTCCACACTCCCATGATGCATGCATCCATTCATGCATGTGTGCATGCATGCGCGCATGCATGTATCCACCCATGGTGCTGAGGCCCCACAGGCCATGAGCCACTCGCTGCAGCGCCTTCAGAGGCAGCGCGCGGCAGCCTAAAGAGCCCCCGAGCCCCCCAAATGCCTCTTTGCTAGACCTCTTGCTGCTAAGAGCACTCCGTACGCCATAAGGCCCCTGGGGGCTCTCCAGACCCCCAGCTGCTCCTCAACAGGTGTGGGACCACAATGAATATGCCCCTGTGCAGAGGGCCTGCCCACCAGCTGTTCGTAGCGCCAGTCTTGGGGCACCTTGCCAGCCTTTACCGAAGCAGCAAACTCCTTGCAGATGCCCAACACCCCCAGCAAAAGCCGGGGGGCAAACGCCAGGGACGCATGCAGCACGCGAAGCAACGGGACTGCCTTGGTGAAGAAATCGTCAAATGAGGTGCACTGAAACTGACCCTGAGCCTTGAACCCAGCTGCTCCTGCTTCTGCTGCTGCTGCTGCTGCTGCAGTTGGTGCTGCGGCTTCAGCTCTTGCTGCTGCCTGAGCAGGGGCAGACAGCGAGGGCAGCAGCAGACCTAGCCACACACGTGGGAGGCGGGCGGGGCTGAAGTTGTTTTCGTCTGCTGCAGCCCTTCGCAGGGCTTCAAGGGCCTCTCCAGAAGGTACTTTCTCGTCAAGGGGGTCCTTGTAGGCCCCAAATGCTGCGTCCCCAGACGGGGCCCCTCGGGCCTTTGCATGCGCCTCCAGCATCTCCCGCAAGGAGGCCTCTGGCCCTTTTAATATGGGGCGAATTAGCCAGCTGAGGGCACAAGCACGGCGGACACACAAGAGGCCATCTGCAGCATGCAGCATTGGGGCTTGGCTTCAGAGCCAAAAAGAGGAACAAAAACGCCAAATAAAAGACAAAAAGGCCAATTTTAAGTCTAGAGGAACAGCAACTCGCACGCAGCAAATAGGCACTTGATTCTGCAACAAAGGGCGAGGCCTCAAGCCTCCCCGCAGCAACTTGAGGACAAAACCGCCACAGGCGAAGTTGCTGCTGCTCCTCCTGCCCCGAAATGCATGTCTTCATGGGATGCAAAAGATGTACTTTCTATCTACATAAAAGACGATAAAAGGGAAAAGCCCATAAACTGCGGACTGAGCATGGCGGCCTCCACAGCACAAAATTTCTAAGAGAGCCAGAAGCCCGTAAAAGAAGATCCAGAAATACGATACAAGAGCAGCAAAGACAGGGCCAAAGGTCCATGAGACACAAGACAGGGGGGAGTGGGAAAGAGCCGAAAAGAGTTGTCCTGCGGAGAGTTAGAGGGGCAAACTTCCTGTACAAGCCCCATTAGACTAAACCCAAAGAATATAATTAAGGGTGAAAGTGAGAAAACAGAAAGGGAAGTGAGGAAGTTTCTGCGTGGAGAAAAGAACTGCCAGTTACAGCCAAAGCAGCAGCAGCAGCTGACCTGACGTATTGAACGAGGCTCTTGTGCACCCGAGAGTTGACTGTGGGCAGCAGCCTCAGCTTTCCAGCGAAGTGCAGCAGCAAAACTTGGGCAGACTCGAAAGCATTGAAATCCAACAGAGACGCCAACAGCTCCAATTTCGGAACGCGCAAACGATACACAAAGTCCCGAGACGCCCTGTTGCACCGCACACCAATTCAAATCCGCAGGAGCAGCACAGAAAGCCCCAAACACACCGCCACAATGCATGCAAATAAGAACATGCACAGAAACGGCCACTGCCAAAGCACATATATATATACACACAGATGTGCAAGTACAAATATATATACATACATATATATATATACATATATATATATACATGCATACGTATTGTTGGGAACAGGCGGTACGTGGTCAAGCCTTAATGAACATCATTTACTGGAAACAAAGCATGCATCAAGACCGGCAAAGGGAGAGAATGAGATGAAGAAATTCGAATTCAAAAAGAACACTGGGGCTGCCGTAGCCAGCAAGCTCACCTGTAGGTGTTTTCAGCCTCCTGGAGAAGGTGTTCCACCTTTGGGGGCAGTGCGGCGGCAACAGCAGCTTCTTCATTTGCTGCGCCTGCCGCTGGAGCAGCTGAATTTACAGGGCTGTCCCTTGCATGCTGCTGCTGCTGTTGTTGCTGCTGCTGCTGCTGCTGCCTCCAGTCATCTCGCCCCCCTCTACCTGGGGAATTGCCCCAGGCAGGAGATGCTCCGTATGGGCCCCCAAACTGCATCCCTCCAGGGCCGCCCTGCCCGAAGGGCCCCGACGGCGCAAACCCTGAGAACAACAGCAGAAAGAACAGCAGCATCAGACGCCGCAGCAGCAGCGTAGACTGCAGCAGAAGCAGCAGCAGGAAGCCCACGCTAAAAGGCTGGCGTGGCGCACTGCACAGGCGTACCCTGAGAGCTGGATGGCTGCTGCTGCGGAGACGAGTCTGCCCCCGAAGTAGCTTCAGCAGCTGCTGTTGCTGCTACTGCTGCAGCTGGTGCTGCTGCTGGTGGAGGCGACTGCTTCGGAGGCGGTTGGAGGGTCCCCGCCTTTGCCAGTGAGAGGGCCTGGCGGTAGCGAAGCGCCAGGCGATCGGCCAGCAGAGCGAGAGAGGCGTCGGAGGGCAGCAGGTAAGGGTACAGTTCCTCCAGCGACAGCAGTCTGTGCACGAACATACGTGCAAACACTTTTGCAGTTTCGGTGCATTTTTCTGTCACGTCCGTTTGCGTCAAGAGGTTTTAAGCATACCCATCCTAATGAATGCAATTCAGAGTGCACGCATGCATTAAGTGAGGGCTCAAGTGTCCAAAAATGTGCTTACAAACACGCACGCTGACGCATCTTTCCGGTTTGTTCTCTTATGCCCAAAAATCCATCTTTGCATTTGTACACGCAGACCTTACGTGCATGCAGGCACAGGTGTTCATACAACCCAATCAGGCTTGTCTATGCGCATGTACCACAGGTGTTCATGCACCCTAATTGGGCTTATGCATGTGCATGCAGGCGCAAGTGTCCATACACCCTAACCAAAGTGCACGAACCCGCATTTCCGGGCACACGTTCCCGCGCACGGATTTTCGTGCGCAGGTTTCCGCGCGCGGGTTCTTGGACAAAACCATAAACTCATTTTTGCACGCATATATGAATCATTTGATGAGCTGTTGATGTGGGACAGTGAGTTTAAAAACGCAAATGGACATCACCATCTCTGCCCCTCTCAAGTCTCTGACCTCACAAGTGTTTCAGAATTGTGCGCAGGAAAATGTACAGCTTTTCTACAGCACGCTTTCAATGACGTGTAAGAAAAGCGAACGCAAACAGGCAGTTCATAGGTGCAGAAGAGGCGTGTGCACGAGGAATACACGAGCTAAGAGGAAAGGGCCCCGCAGAAATGCAGCAGCAGCAGCAGCCCATTGCACGAGTAGCAGCAGCAGCAGCAGCAGCAGCAAGCGCAGCGTCTGCTGACCCCCTCATAATCAGCACAGCCAACAGATCAAAGAACTCCTTCGGAGGCCCCTCTGCGGTGCTGCTCAGTAAAGAAGTCCTTAAAGATCCCATCTCGGCCTCGACCGTCCGCTGAAGCGCAGCAGTACCAAAACAGCGGCAGCAGCAGAAGCAGCAGCAGCAGCACAGGCAGGCAGGAGCAGATCAGCTTGTCAATTACACCTCTGTGCAGTGCATGCACACCAGCTCTATCTGCAGGACCCGCCAAAAACTGAGAAGCCGCATATTGTGCGCATGCAACACATACGACGTACCAGTGGGTCATGCTTCTTGCTGCTGCTACCACCGGCAGTGCCCCACGTCTGCTGCTGCTGCTGCTGCTGCTTGAAGTGCACCCGTGCATCAGCGTACATATGCAGCGTAAAGCCCACCACCTCTCGCACTTTCGGGCCCGCATAAAGCCGCACGAGAGGCAGCAGCTGGTTGGGGGCCCACAGGAAATCCTCGTAGACCCCCAGCAGCAAAGACAGAGAACGAGAGGGACACAAACTGCCGCTGCTGATGATGGACTTGTAAGCCTCCGCAGCCACAGCCACGCCCAGCCTCTCCTGCACACACGCAGCAGCAGGCAGCCCGCAGCACTCAAGAATGAGACGGGCAGTACCAACACCAGCAATCGCAGCACTGAGCCCAATAGCAGCAGCAGCAGCTGCTGCTGCTGCAACAGCTGCAACTGTAGCGTGAGAGGTGTGTGTGTTTCCCTCGATGCTTGTCTGCCCTGTACATCTGCTGCAGCCTTTCTTCGGTCTCAGCTACGTTCCAATGTGTCTCTTTTAATATCTGCCAGCCTCAAGAAGCTTAGCCTAGCTTTCCGGCTGCTGCTGCTGCTAAGCCTCTCACCGGGTGGCTAACGAACTGCAGCAGCAGCGCATGCATCCTCGCATAGAGCGCAATGTGCTCTCTAGTGGAGTTGTGAACAGTCAGCGTGAATTTGCGTTTAGTCCTCTCCTTGACCAGGAGCTCGTTGACCCTGCGGGTCCCCCGGGGGCCCCCAGGGGGGCCCCCAGAGGGGCCCCCCGAAGCCAAACGCGACCACTGCATCTCGTCCAGCCGGGAACTGGAGACGATCCCGCAGATGTCTTGAGAAGTCGCCAGCCCCTGCAGCTCCAGCTGGCGCAGGAAAGCTGCAGGACAGCAGAGACAGCCACAGAAAGACGAACATGATGCCATCTTTGCTGCATTTTGCTGGCCAAAGGTGAAAAATAAGCACATTGAAGCTCCATAAACACATCTAACTGAGCCTTTCTTTTCCCCTTTTCTTCTGCGAATGCATGCGCGCCAAATCGCACTACTTGATCATCAACCACACATAAATTTGCCCTTCAAAAAGAAGCCTCGAATTCCCCTGCAGCATTTCCCACCCACTCGGGCCAAAGGCAATATGCACACTCTTTCCTTTGCCGGGTGTGCTGCTGTTGGGCAAAAGGCCAATACTTGGAAGAATATGAAAATATATACTTGCAAAAGCTTGCTCAGTTATTCAGCTTATGCATGCCCGCTAGCCGCACAGCAGCAAACTGGAAAGCGAATGCCAACAGCAGCAGCAGCAACAGCAGCCGCAAGGGCCACCCCGCAACGCCCGCAGCAGCAGCAGAGACAACTGCAGTCGCAGGGAACCTCCCGCAGCGTCAGCAGCAGCAGAAGCAACAGCAGCCGCAGGGCCTCCCCCGAAGCGCCAGCAGCAGCAGCAGCAGCAGCAGCAGCAGCAGCAGCTGACCTGCGAGAGTCGCTCGGGCCTTCCTTGAGCTGGGGCCTCCCCCGTTTCCGCCCAGCATCTCCGCGCACTGCGTGACCCCATCTAGCAGCATTGCCAAAAACGGCTGGGGCAGAGCTCCCCCCGCGAGCCTGCTGCTGCTGCTGCTGCTGCTGCTGCTGCTGTCGGATGCCCCCAGCGCCTCCTGCAGCCCGTAGGGGCCCTTGTGGGGGGCCCCCAAGCCGGGGGGCCCCAGAATGTGGGCCATGAAGGCCGCTGCTCTTGAAACGTTAAGAGTTGCGGGGGAGGGGGGCCCCCTGAAGCAAGAAGCAAAAGTAATGCAAATGCTGGCAGGCTCTGTCTCCTTCTTCGGGCTTTTTAAGTCCCCCGATGGTGTTTCCTTTGCTGCTGCTGCTGCGTCGTTTGCTGCTGCTTGCGCTGCAGCAGCTAGAGAAGACGACTCGTCCGCGAGCCGCTTTTCTGCTTCCCCAGCGCCTGCTGCTGCTGCTGCTGCTGCGACTGCACTGCAGTCCTCGGGTTTGACCTTGTCATCCGCTGCTGCTGCAGCTTCTGCAGCAGCTGCTGCTGCTGCAGCTTCCTGCTGCTGGGCTTGCGCCTTCCTTGCGCACTGGTGCACGTCCTCCAGCAGCTGCAGCAGGTGCAGCAGCGCGCGGGGCAGCAGCTGCTGCTGCAGGAAAGCAGCAGCAGCAGTAGGGTGCAGCATCCCCCAAGACACGCAGTAGACAAACTCAAAGAAAAAAGAAACCAGAGCACTTTCTGTCTCCGGGGAAACCGACACAAATATCACATTCAAGTCAACTGCGCGGACGCAGCAGCAGCAGCAGCAACTGGGCCCCTCAGGGCTTTCCCCACAGGGGCCCCCAGGGGGCCCCTCAAGGCCTCTCTCCTGCAGCGCCATGGGGACAAACTGGAGGCACTGCTGCCGCCAGGCCTGCGAGAGCAGCAGCAAAACAGCAGCATGTGCAGCAGCAGTGAGCAGCAAAAGCGAAACCCAGAGGGAGTAGCGGTCGTGTCTGCTGCTGCACCTGCTGCTGCTGCTGCGACGGAGGTGCAGCAGCAGCAGCAGCAACAGTAGTAACAGAGGCTCTACAGAAACGACAAGGGCAAGACCTAGCTTGCTGCAGCTGCAGCAGGTTCCGCTGCTGATGCTGCTGCCTACGCTGTTGCTGCAGCTGCTGCTGCCGCCGCTACCGCGCTAGCAGCAGCAGCAAAGGGTTTGCTCTAGACACTGATTTTAGCCTGTGGGTTTATAAGGGCCAACTGGACTAGAAGTGGTAATAAGAGAAGTGAGCAAGGCAGCAGAATAAGAAAGGAAAGAGACAAAACAAGAATGGCAGCACATGCAGCAGCAAACGCCGCTGCTGCTGTCGGCAGCACTCACAAACAGCAGCAAACTCCTTCTTCACAGAACTAAAAAAGAAGCACATGGACGCATGCAAGAGGCCCCCGCGCGGGCGCGAGCTGCGGTGTACGTACACCCGAAAAAACGGGCAAGAAGTCCCCGCGCGGGCGCAAGCTGCGGTGTACGTACACCCGAATGAAGAAGGAAGCAAAACAAAGGACTCACCTCAAGCCTTCTGGCCAGCAGCTGTGCGAAGTTTTGTTCCGTGGCCTGCAGGTCGCACTGTCTGTAAGGGTCCACCAAAATGCTTCTGTCCACACCTCCATCTTGGCCGCCGCTGCTGCTGCTGCTGCTGCTCACGGGCTTCACGAGGACGTAGCGGTGGGACTCAGCAGCTGACAGAGACTGGAAACTCGCATCTGCTGCTGCATCTTTGTGGCGAGAAGAAGCTGCGAGTCCCCCTGCTGCTGCCGGCCTAGCAGCTGATCCTGCTGCCAGCGCTGGCCCTGAAACAGCAGCAGCTGCTGCCGGAGCAGCAGTCGGCTGCTTCGCAGCAGCAGCCGTCATGGCACTTCTGTCTTCCACGTGTTTAACACGACGACACAAGCAGTTGACGCAGCAGTGTCCTCGGGAACTCGCATGCTGTTGCTGCTGCTGCTGCTATTCTACTGCAAAAGCAACGCGACAAACAGCCGCAGCATATCTCCCTTCATATGTACCCAAATACCCCTTCCATTTGACTGCTCAAACACCTTAACACTGCTAAGCCGTTGCTGTTGGACTGAAGAAGGGAAAATGCAAGAGCTGAGCAATGAGCAGCCGCAGTGTACGCACACTCCACGAGTCCGCCGCAGTCTCTCACGCTCCTTTGCCACCAGAACAAAGTTGCATTAGCATTTTTCAAAACGAGAAAAGATACAAGCGAAGAGTTACTGCTCAGCCTTTTACAAAGAGCAATGCTGCCAGGTCGTTTGGGGCTGCATGCAGCAAAGGGGCTGACAAAAACGGAGAAATCGACGCGTGAATACACGCAAAATCAACGATACTGCAGTTTAACTAAAGCTTGAGAAGTAGTGTGAATGATGCCCCCCTTTAAGTTGTTCTCCTTGCCAGTGGCAACTTGGACGTGCCTGTATCCTGCGAACGGGAAATCCCATCTATCCGTCGCCAGCTGGTGTTGGTTAGCTGCGCCCATTTGACACTAGCCTGGCGTAGAGTGATCGACCGCATGTAGCGATGCGTGTGTCCACTGGTGTAATTGTTGGTAGCAGGCTCTTGCAAGAATGCCAGCTAGCTTTCCAGCTAGAGTTTACGGAGGAACTGAGAAGGTCATATCACGTTGGAACAAATGGATATGTTGCGGAGAAAATTGGCGCACTTGCTGAATCTATAGACAGAGAATTTCACTAAGAGGTCGCGCCATTCCATTCATCTTTCTGAAACGATCGCCACCTGTACACTGTCGTGGTATCCCATCCCATTTGGCGAAATGAAAAAGGAATATTCTTGTGTTTTAACCAAATGGGTTAATGTTTATGCCATACTGAGCCCGTATTATCTCCCTGAAGCGCTAGCCTAAGCTAGTATGGCCTGCAGATCAGCAAGCCTTAATTTTGTGCGGGTGATCCCAAGCAAGCGGCTCTAACTACGCGAACTCGTGTAGCATGATGCAAAAGTATCTTAACTTTGCTGCTCAAACTACAACAGGCTCGTAATAATAACTATCACAGAGGCGGGCTAAGGAAATAGCTTTCTAGCACTGCAGGAATGGAGGGGGCAGGGAAAGCCAAGAGTAAGAAAAAGGGAAGAAGCTCTTCACTTGGGGTGTCCATGCTTTTCTTGTGAAAAAATTCTGGCCAGGCAATTGCCTTGCGAAACGCCGCGTTCTAAGTTGCCCCACGTGACAACATAAGCGCGTGATATAAGACAATGCTTATGTTGCTTAAGAGTATTTACTTAAATTCGGTGCTTGGGGATTCGGTGGATTCCCGAAGTCCGTTTGTTACACACCTCTTTGAAGCAGTGGACGTTTCTTGTCTTGGTAGGCCTCAAGGTTTCATGAGGTAGCCCAGCTTCACTTCACGTCTGCTGAGGCCATTTCGCCTCTTTCAATGGCACGTCTCGTGAGCAACATTGCTCACTACAGTGCAAAGCGTCTTGATCGTTCAGGCACTCATTTCATGTCAGTTTTGTTGCTGTTGCACTTGGCGCCACTATCTATCGCTGCCGCTCCTGCAGTTTTCCTGGTGCAAATGCTGCTACTACTGCTTTTGCCATCGCGTTTGCAGTTGTTGTTTTTGCTGTTGTGATTGCCAGCGGTATTATTGCTGAATCAAGTGCTCTTGCTGCTGCGGCTCCGCCTGATCAAAGTAAATGAACCGCCGTCATCTGCTCCCCTACAAAGTGGACATGTGCTTGTCATCACCCTATAGCGCCACGAATATCCCAGAGTGTTGATACATTAATAAAACGTCTCATTGGTCAATACCAGAGAAGCTAGTAATTCATGAGGAGCGGCTGCGATGCAAGGCAGTCGGGCCGGCTCCAGGGATGCAGCATGCTGAGGAAGTTTTGACAATGCATTCTCTACGCGCTTTCTTTCATCTTGAAAAAATTGCCTTGAAATCGCGAAACTTTGCGGGAATCAAAGGTAATAGAGGCCCGCATTGCCTAGATATTTGGAAGCGCTCAGCTGCCGCATGTGAGTGAGAGCCTGACATTGATGCGTCCTGTCACCAAGAACATAAGTGGCGGCATGCTTCTAGAGCTGCGACTCAAGCTACACGTTCCTGGTTGTTCGGCGAAACGTTTTGCTCGTTCAAGCTCACGGCCGGGCTAGGAATACCACTGAGTCCTTCCTCACGCTCGAGGGCCACTTACATCACATAGACGCCAGTATATAGCGCAAAATATGTAGTATTGCTTCCCGAATCATGTAGTTGAAGAAAGGCTACTTAACGCGTTGTACAGAGTGAGCTCCGGCCGTTCCGCAGGAAAAGGGCACACCTGTCCGTGTGGCGTTAACGAGGGAGCATGGCAGCGGCGATGTAGCTAGCTTGCCTGCTAATAAGGCAACGCGATGCGCAAGTATTTAAGAGTGCATCACAGCTGTGCCTAATAGCATCCAGCGAAACAGCTGGGGTTGTTCGCAAACTGGTAAGCACAGTCTCGGTAGCCGAGCCTTCATACACGGCAGCTCACGCCTCCAATGTGGCACAATTTTTATGCTTTTGGGCAGGCTGGCCCTTGAATCCGTGCCGCCATGCACTTGGCTTCCACTTTGTAGCTCATTAACTGTATGTTCATCTAGCTCTCTTCTTGGCACTTTTCCATGCTTCCCTACTTTCAGCTGAGCGTTGACTGTGCTAGTTGATGCTGTGAAACTCCTCAAGAACTACTTAGAGCACTATCAAACGCCGATTAAACTCAGATAGCTTTTTTTGTGTGCATTTCCAGATGGGGGTTGGTGGAAGCCGTGCAGAAGGATCGTTTCTGGTGGCTGCTCAAGACAGTGTCAGTGCGCATGATAATCCTGGTTTGCATCATCCACTTCAAGTTTTGGGCAGAGCCTGTGACCTTACGGTTGAAGTTTATCCCCGAGGTAGCTACGTTTCTAGTAAATGCGCCGGAGCGTTCAATACGCGCAAATATTAACAGGTATGAAAGAATGAGAGAATGAGCAGAGCAAGCACTCCAATAAGACAAAGTCTGCGTAAAGAAAAGGAGTCAGCCTATGGAATCCTGAAACACCTGCACAAAGAATGCTTCATACAATTTGGAGTAGCAGTGAAAGAAAACTTGAAGAATGAAAGTCAAGCACCCATGCAAAGCATCCCCAAAACGTTTAGAGGCATGTTTGAAGTGCGATCATTGTTTTAGTTCCCAGAAATTTGAAGATGCGTTACGACTCTAAATTACACAAACTACAAAACTTTTGTTTAGGCAGCAGATGTAGAGGAAGACGATGCAAGGCGTTTGGTCACTGAAGAGAAGATGCAAATGGGGAATAGCGGGAGGACTGAGCCATCCCGTCACGCACCGTATAACTGTCCAGAACATCTTTTCACAACCAGAAGTCAGTATTTGCTGTAGGTACTCTTGATTTTCAGACTAAGACGCACAGAGTCAAATGCAGTACCGAGCCTTCTTCAAGGGGAGCGCCTCCACTGGTTTGCATTCGGTGTTACTATGTGCAAATAGCGAACTAGCTCATAAGCAAAACTCCTTATGACACTGCCTGGTCAATAATTATCTATGAAAAAGATCCTTAGTGAGCAGGAAAGGGTGGATCACTGGCGAGTCACTGTTAATCCCCCGATCCCCACCTTGAGTGCACCGCGGGACGAGCAGAATCCGGGCACCCCAGGGGCTTAAAGATCTTTTCGTTGTATATATTGCCCTTATGGTGCACAGTTGATACTCTCAAGTCATTTTGCACTACACGTGGTTGCTAGATTCTCTCTCTGCCCGCAACGGGACGGTGCGGCGCCTGGCCGTCCGGACCCTGGGGTGTTTCACCATGATCACTAGGCTTTAGCATGGATGGAGAAGCCTTAGAAATTTGATTGGTAGTTCAAGGCACTATGCAATCGATGCTAAAAAGCAAGTACACTTTCTAAGACACTAGCTAGTCTCAGCATGCAGCTCGAGCGCGCTCCGCAGGAAGCCACAAAGAGTGGGACCAAAGCATCCATGGATCCTTCGAAAAAGAATGAGAGGAAAGTCTGAGCCTTTCTTAATGTCGCCGCATCTACAGATTACCTAATTACAATACTAATCCAACCCCCGCAACTACCGGAGAGCTGGAGCGCTTGGCAAAACTGGCTCTAGGGGAGAGTTCGAGGGTCAAAAGGGCTTGGAAGAGGCTATATGGGTTTGCTTTAAGTGTACATCAGGGTTTTGAGCATAAGTAAATACGAGAAGAAACGAACACAGGTAGGGTAGCGTTCCACTTGGCATGTGGTGGCAGAGCAAGGCCCAGCCCCTGGGACTGACCGTATGAACTCCCGTATTGTGTGGACTCTGCGTCACTTCACTTCAGAGTACATTCTAAAGCATATTTACGAAAACCTGGGTTGTTATTGCATTTGTTGGTCAACTCCTGATTAATTTGCCCCCCGTCGATCCTCAGACTGTGCTGCTTGCTGCTGCTGGCGGTCGATCTGTTGCGGCGCACGATGTTCGATGGTTGACAAAGAGTTCCCAGCTGTATGCTTTCAGTAGCCTTTGTCTCTGTATGCCTTGGGGACCTTCTTTGCAGTCACTCTGAGCCCCTTGAGGAGCCGGGTGACCCGAACCCTTTCCAACGATGAGGCGTGACGCCGCTTACTGCCTTTTCTGCTTCACGCTTGCTCTGTCTCTGCCCGTACGCGGCAACGAGCGGTTCTACAGTGACAAATCTCAAGAGCCATATCAGCAGCACCGCCAGCCTGCGGACTTGAACTCTCCAGGCGTTTTCGGGCCCTCCGCTGGATTCTCCCCTATTCCAGAGGGCCCTGAGGGGGCCTCCTCTGGGCTTTCCTCGAGCCCCTTCGGCCCTCCTACCCCTTCCCGCAGCAATCCTAGCTCCCGGTACAATTTGCTTGACAAGCTCTCTACGAAGTTGTACGAAACAACTGATGTAAGCCCACCAGCACACCAGCCGAGACAAAAGCTGCAAGGCGCTGCGCCGCGACCCGTGTTTATTGCTTGCTTATGAGCAGCGCTTAGAGGAGGCCCGTTGAAGCTTCCACTAATTAATTGCTGCATTTTTGTGGCACATTGCGTACTTGTCTTCCCCTCGTGTCTTGTGCTTCCCCTCAGCTTTCTTCCGATGAATCCACTCAAGACGACCACTCCGTCTCAGATGACGCATGGAGTACTGCCGTTGGTAAATACGAGCATTTTCTTTAGCTTTAAGGATCTGGGCTTAGAACTTAGGGCTCAGAATAGAATCCAAAGAACCAATACTCAGTTTTAGGGCTTAGGGCTTGGGCCTTAGTGCAGAGAGCCGCTCGAAGTGACGGCTGATCTGCAGCTAACTTGTACGAAATGCTCTGTGGTCTTTTCTGTTGATGGTTTTGCTTCTGAGGGAGAATTGCGTATATTGGCTTTTATTCATTTCTTGTCTTGCACGGGTCTGCTTATCTATGTGTGCTGCTCTGAAGTGTCGGTGTGTCTTTCTCTGCCATTTCCTCTTTTCCTGTTTTCTTGTCTTCGTGCTTTTTTGCCGTTCATCTCAACTGAAGCTTATTCTTCTCTTTTTTCAGTTTATCTCCGTGCCGTTGTCACTTGGCAGACGCATATGAGTCGTACACATCTTTGTGGCCCTTGTGTTTCCTCTTTGTCGCGTTTTTCCTCCCTTGTTTTCACATTTTCTTGCATTTCTTCATTTCCGTTTGCTTCATGCTTTGCTTCACACAATGCGATATTTCTTTGTGCGCTGCTGCGTTCTTTATCGTTGGCCTTCATTTGTATCCTTCAGTTTGTGCCTCTATATACTTCTGTGGAATGCCTGTCGGATGTCTACCTGTGAATTTTCCCGCTTTTTCGTCTCAGTCTTCTTTATGTTATTTGTAAATTTCCTTATCTAAACAGTCTTTTATTGTGCATTCGCCTCTGCTGCTTTCGCCTGCCTTTCCGCAGAGCCAGCCGAGGAAGACCCGGTGACAGACGCGGACTTGAATTGTGCTCCCAGCAAGTTCTTATCCCCCGTGGGCCATGCACGGTCAATAGGGGAGGCCTCGGAGTTGCTGCTGGCCTTCAAGGCCTTCGCAAAACAGTCAGCAGCAGCAGCGGCAGCGCACAAAAAGAAAAAGATGCTCATCTTCGTCACTGCAGGCACCGGCGAGGAGCTCATTGGTAACCGGCAAATTTCACAGAGATGTGAGTGCAAGCTCACGCACTGCACAGTTTCTGTTTCATACATTTAAAACTTCATCTTAGAAATATTTTAATTCCGCAACTGCCTCCGGTGGATATATGTGGTTGTGTGCTTTTTCGTAATGGCTCGCATTCTTTCCTGGTGGCCTTATGCCCCATGTGTGCTAATTTCGTGTTTGCACGTTACTCTTTCATTTGTTCATCAGATCTGTCGGAATAGTGCTCAAAATTCCAGTTGTTCCGTCTCAGTCTTGCGTCGTATCTCTTATTGGCTTCAGTGATCACGAAGCTGTCTCGGCGTTTTGTTGGCAGCCTGCATAGGTGTCATAGATGCTTCTTTTGACGAGTCATTCGTGCTTAGCACTGTTTTCCTTTTGTTGCTTTGTTCCGTCTTGTCTCCCCTGTACTCCCTGCCTTCTGTTGGCTTTCCCGATTTTTTCGTGCATGCCCATCACTTGCGTGGGCGCCAGGCACTGCATGCTTTCTGTGTAGCCAACTGTGGTGCACCTTTGTTGGCGTATTTGTACCTGGCATGTCGTAGAAACACGCTTGAATTGAGTACGCTTTGGACATGCTTGCTTACGCACGTGCTCTTAATACTTGATGCTGGTCACGGATACGTGCACATGCATGTAGTGTATTTATGGGGTCTTCTCTTTCTGTCTTCTTTGTCTCTGTGTAGTGTTGGTGCAGCCGACAGTCCGCAAGAAACGCACGGGTTTTTTCAACCCGAGTGACGGCGTGGCGGAGCTAAGCGACGACGGCCGTCTGCAGGTGGAGCTGTTGCACGAACTGTTCACACGATTTGTAAAGCAAACGAAGGACTTGCCTGCAGAGCAGCGGCGGCAGGCTTGCGTGGACGTATTCCTGACCTCTACCCTTCAGTCAGGAGTTGAGACGTGTCTTGAGGTTTTCACGGGGATCCTGGAGCCTCTTTCTTGCCAACCT